AATTATGTTTAGGAGATTATTTTTGCTTTCAAGTTTTTATATGTCTTAACACAGGCTTGTATGTGCGTGAACCATTTATTGGAGAGATGCTTCAAGAATTGCTCGTATTTGCGTTGGCGAATTTTTCATTAAGTTTTGAATGTTTTTGCAAGTCATTTATTGGTTCAACTTAATTGTAACAACAACAACAACAGGAAACTTGTATCGTGTCAATGGCCCTTACTCAATCTAGGTTAGGTATATTAATAACTAAGTATTAATATACCTACTTACTTAACTAGCTCTACACTGTAAGTCTAGAGCTAGTTAAGGTAATTTTCGAAAAATGTGATACAGATAGATGGATATAGGACATTTCCATCGTTTTTTTTTTAATTCCAAACGTAAATACTCACTTAAATCTGTTTTGTTGTAAGATAAAAATATAAATACTTACATTGTTTTTTGGTTATGATTCAAAGTAAAATTTCTTTGGTAAATAAAGCTCTTACTTCCTACTAGCTAATTATATCATAAATATTAGGTATTGGATAAATCTACGCTAAATAGCATTTATTCGCAAAGTTAGCTGTAAAAATATGTGACTAACGGGTAAATGAATAAATAAACTATTAATCAACATTAGAATATCTAAAAGATACGAATATATACTAATTGAAAAGCAAATAATTACCCAGAAGTGTGGGGTAAAATTTTAACCCAGTCCATTTCATCATTTTCGTATCTTTTATAACTGAAAAGTGTATAATATGTAAGTACATAGACTAATATTTATGTATTTGGGATTAATTAAGATATTGTTTACGGCCATTATCAGCTGACCTGATTTTTGAGCGTCCCGTCCATGCAAATATCTACTAAGTCTGTAATATTTTGGGGTTGATAACTTTTTTGCGATTGGTTCTACTAATTATTTAATAAGATTTATTTAAGAAAAGTTTTCTTTAGATAACTATTTTAAAATACGATAAAATTTATAATAACATTAATAAACCTTTAACGATCAACTTTACCATGAATACCAAAAACTTTTGCGACCAAAAATCAAGTACCCACACACCGTCTCGACAGTGCACAGAGGCCAAGCACAGCTGGTCTTCTGGCACATCCTGCAGAGCAGAGTGTGCATGCATCAGAGCCTCTTTATCGCCAAATGAGCTTGAGCTTGAGATTCAGAAAGATGGTAAATATGCATCCAATAAGTACCGTCTCTCCAGCAACAGTTTCTTATAAACATCGATGGCCTCCTGGTAATGCGCGCGTAGATAGTGCACAGAGGCCAAGCACAGCTGGTCTTCTGGCACATCCCGCAAAGCCGTATGCGCGCGCATCAGGGCCTCTTCATCGCCCAGCTTATGAGCCAGGTGGAAAGTCAACCGGTTCTGAGGATAGTCAAGCCTTTAATTGTCTGGAAAAGTCATGATGTCTTTTTGGATCCTAGGGATATGTGAGGTTTATTACGTCCAGTTAAGAGCTCGGCTACATGAGCAGGGTCCTAACCCTAACTAGGAGAACGTATACTAATGTTTCCCCTTCACATGCTGAAATATTAAGAGTATTTTAAGTAAAATACTGAACACGTTATCTTGATGGAAGTTCTTCAATCTTCAGTAAAAAATTAAGTTCTAAAATGACTTTCTTTTTAACCATGTTTGATTGTCACCGGTTCGCACATGATACGAAATGCATGTTTTTCTGTTGTTTTTGAAATATTTTAATACATATTAATATTGAGAAATTTAAAGTCGTTTAATTTTGTAACTTTTAACTTTTTTTTTTTACTTTTTTGCTATAAGCTTTGTGGAACCATATTTAATAGAAAACTAATAATGAATTTACTACAGATAAACAAATGAAGCTTAAGGCAATCATTATATGTGTATAGTGTACCCAAATTATTAAATTCACAAACTATTCTCCTAAGGTGACACGCGGCATTCTAAGAAAGGGATATTAAAATCTAGAGTCGGTATAATAGAACAGTAACTGTATCTTTCAAGACATGTTCCCCTGAGCTGCATTTACAGAGATTTTTATTTTGTTTTTTTTTCAGACGAAGTTAAACCATGGTGCAAACTAAAGTTACAGACTATATTAAATCCGGTGGACTTTGATCACCCAAGTGATTATAGTCGAGTAATGCGCTATTCAGCTTGTACAGGATACGACTTTATGTTATTATTATTTGAATGAATAATATTGAAAATAAACTAACCTTTAATGCGCACTTGGGCGCTTTCTCGGCTGCTTCTTGCGATTCTTTGTACATACCTGCAATGAAAATGTTTGGTTTTATAGTTTATAGGGTTCCGTACCTAAAAAGGAAAATAACGGTACCCCTCTCAGACTTTGTAGTTCGTCTGTCTGACAAGACCCTTTATCTTGGGAACGTGTGAAGGTATCGAGTTGAAATTTATACCGTATAACTCAGGTCTACGGTCCATTGAAGTTGCAAAAAACAAATTTCCAAGTTAACGTAAAAAAGAGTAATGGCTGTTTATCTGTCTGTCTGTCAACTCACCCTTTATTTGAAGAAGGCGTGGTGGTATCGAGTTGAAATTTAAACTTGAACGCAGGCCGAACGTGCTAACTAACATCGCCATCGAGCTCCTTTCGCTTTAATCAACAATACCTACTATCTCTCATGGAAATCCTCACCCACATAGAAGTAGCAGATGGCAATGTCTATAGCCACGTTGTCAGCTATGCGTTCATCCGCTGACCTCCTTCGATCAACCATACCTACTATCTCCCAATGAGAAATTCCATGTAATCCTTACCCAATTTGAAGAAACAGACGGCGATATGTCTATAGCCATGTTGTCAACTATGCGTTTGTCTAACTCGGGCGTGGCACTCACGCGCGTTTACTAACCTCCATCGATCAACCATACCTACTACGTCTCATGAGAGATTTCATATAATCTTAAACCAAGTTGAAGAAGCTGACGGCGATATGTCTTAGGCACGTTGTCAGCTATGCGTTCGTCTCACTCGGGTGTGGCACTCACGCGCGTGTACTACTTCAGTCAACAATACCTTCGATAAACATTACCTACTAATCGCCTTTAATATCCCTCATGGGAATTCTCACCTAGGTAGAAGTAGCAGACGGCAATGTCTATAGCCACGTTGTCAGCTATGCGTTCATCTAGCTCGGGCATGGCACTCACGCGCGTGTACTGGTCTAAGGCACGCCTGTACTCGCCCAGGTGGAACCAGCACCAGCCCGCCCATACCTCCGCCCACACTTCGCTCTTGCCCTCGTGTTGAAGGAACTGTTTAAGAGGAAAAGTTTCATCATCAGCCTGTTATGTGACTTACTGCTGGGGCTTTAATTTATAATATGGTTTGAACGTTACTACCGACCCCAAACCGTAGATAGCGCCAGTGTCGCAAACAAACCTTCATAGTGCCCCATGCCTAACTAACGACAGGATATAAAACCGTCTCGTTAACAAGCGCTCTAAAAAGACTTGCTACTCATATAATGTAACATTCAAGGATAAATAAATAAATATTTCCTACACTCACACTAATCACCCTAGCCCCAAAGTAAGCACTGCAGGCTTGTGTTATGGGATGCTAGGGTAACGGATAGTATACATATACTGGTATACATATACTGATACATATATAAGTATATTTATAAAGAAAATACATATTAAACATCCATGACTGGAGTACAAATGCTCGTATTCATCACACAAACATCCGGGAACCCGGGAGTGCGAGTTAGCGACACCATGAAACCCGGCGTACATACCACTCGGCCACGGAGGTCGTCAAAGAAAGGATATAACATACTTATCCATATTTCTTGTCTTTATATACATCTACCTACCTCGAGCATTGTAAGAGCCCCCATATAGTCTCTCTTTAGTATGAAATCTTCCAGCTCAGGGAAGTTTCGTTTTGCTGATGAACTACCACTGCTGCGGTTGTCTGAAGCCGGCTTGGAGCGTGACAGGATCTAATAGGAATATAGTAAACATTCTCAACAAAAAGGCAAGTAGATGAAGTAACTAATTATTTGATGAAATAACTGAGAATTGAAATATCGAATACAATGATCTGTAAATTAGGTAAAAATTATATAACCACCGCCCTGTGGGGCTCGGCAATAAAACAAATCTGTATTTTCTCCGCTCCAGACAGCTAAGACCACAGGCCAAGTTCCACGGTGGGCACTTAACCAGACAAGTGCTCCTAATTTGACCGGTAACTCCGCTCACTTTGATAAAATTAAACATTAATAATAAAAAAAACAGCTTTTACTGTATGTGCAAGCTCTTCGAAACTCACCAGGTTTTATTAAACTCAACGACTTTGAAGCTTAAAGTTATCATTGTATAGGGGGTGGGCATACGAGCAGAGAGCTCATTTGATGAAATATTTTATTTATAAGCAGAAAAACATATTGTGTCTATAAAATACACAGGTATGATTATCAATATACCTAATTTTTTATTTATTCATAAATGCAAAATAATCCACAAATCAAACAAGTATATTAAATACTAGTGATAAAGTAAATAGTGCCTTTAAACCTTCGCATTATGTTTTCTAAATAAAATAAAATATATTTTGTAAATAATCCAATTTACAAGTTTAAATATAACCCTTCTGATCACAGTACCTTTTGGAACACTTAATAAGCACTCACCATTTTAATATATTTTTAAATCTTAAGTTTTTCTGTTTTATTACTCCAATGTTGGCGCGAATGTTGACATCAACGTTGCTATAGCAACTCTACCCAACTTTTGACGCATAGGAGGAAAGAGTAAGACAACAAAAAGTTCGATCAAACTTTTTTGCGGGTCACTATGGAGTTTCAAAAAGTCTCTAAGAAGGTTGTTAGCCCAAAGTATCATAATCTCTTTGAACAATTTAATCTCATTTACGTTACTTAGCAACGGGTCGGATTGTTTTTTATTAGAGACGCCTTTTTTTCTGAACTTGATTTTTGGATAAGTTTTATTAGTAAAGCTGGTGTAATGTCTGAGTCTACGCAGTCGGATCCTCAGTGCGGGTGTACGGAAACTTCATCATCATCGTCCCCTCTTCTTTCCCCTAATTGCGTGTGCCCTCGCGATGAGCACGAAATCGTGATCCACGAGGATACCTGTCTGCTGTTCAAGAACGAGCGGATCATATTCCCCCATGTAAGTCTTTTAGTCAATATTGCCTTCGGTTTTGTTTTTCAGTTAGGTACTTTGTTTAAAATTGTATTAACTTTGTTAGTAGAATGAACCGATTTCGATGATTCAAAAAGTATTAATTGAAAAGCTTATTAGATCATTATACTGATGATTTAGAGTTGATTTGCTCACCTAGTAATGATTCCAACCTATTAACTTATATTTTCTGTCATACAAAATGCCAGCTCTAAGTTTTGTATGGAAATTTGAACAGCGCTTCAACGAACGTATCGAGAAGAAAAATCTTCCATACAAAACTTGTGACAGTTGACGCGTATCATGATTGAATTTAACTATTCAAATTCAATATTAGCTCGAGCTTAGGGTACATACATTCATACTTTCATACATTCGTGAAACTGATGTTATTAAAGAAACTTCCAGGAGCCAGATGCATGTGAATGCGAGACACCTCCGTTTGAGGACGGCACCTGCAAATGTTGCGCCTGTCCTATTGACCAATGTCGCTGCAGGAAAGCCGGCAGAGAAGCTTTTGATGAGTAAGTTAAAAAGCGTAACGGCTTTGTCTAAAATCTATCAGGGAATATAATTTATTTTAAACTAGTTTCAGCCCGCAACTGTATCTCTTCAGAATTTAGAACCTAGCTCCGGTTTTTTAAGAATGGATAGTAGTAGAAAACAAAAAGAATGAAGTAAAAAATCAAATAATTCACGCTTTATACCCATTAAAAATATATTTTAAAATTAATTGGTGTGCGTTTATTTCTTATGAAATAAGTCAATAATGTCAACTTTTTCTTGTTAACTAGTTATAGCCTTGGTCTCGTTTGTGAAATAGCCATATCATAGAAAAACATCAATCAATCTATTTTTAACCGGCAGAGCAGCTTCTGAACCTTCCTTGTCCATTCGTAGGCTTTTTAGTATAGGCAACAGAGGCGTATTTACAAATTAGGCACCACGGGCCAATGACGATTTGCATCCCCTAGAATTAGATAACCAAATCAAAATATAGGCCAGTAATATATGCCCTTATATAGCTTCTGCTATCCCTCGCAACTCCTGTAGCCTTCCCTCGCAGCCTGCCGCCCCGGGCCATGTCTCTTTTGGCCCTTGGTAAATACGGCCCTGATGGACAATCCCTAAATTAGCAACTTATTATGTGTTTTTGTCTTCCAATTTAGGATAGGACAAAAATATATTTTTGTAACAAAATCCTTGTTATCAGATGGCGTAGTAAACGTGACATCGGCGCTATGCCCGCCGTGCTGGAGTCCACGCACCCGCTGATGCAGCGCTTCCAGCAGACGCTCAAGCAGTTCCTCGAGAAGGAGAACGCTATAGCAGAGGAGCAGATTCTCAATTTGGTACTGTTGTCATTGAGATAGGTTGATAGTACATACATGATGATGTTACGAGGATGTAGTGTAGCTATTGTATTTCTTCCACGTAAAAATAATCTAGATAATTATCCCTATCAACACAAAGACGTGTCAACAATAATCTATACCTTACCTCATTGCTTCGATTAAATTCTTATAGGTGGTTCATGTTATATGAATACTGAGCTTTTAATTGTAAATAGCCTTTTCTTCTTTTATTTTTGTAAAGGGAGTCAAATTTAGTTCTATGACGCGTCATCCCAAGATAGCGAGTTGATAATATCACAATTCATTACGCCACTCCTTATGTAACGATTTTCCTGAATAACATTTTCTCTTATGTTTTTGCGGACCAGGCAGCAGACGGGACTCGAACCCGCACCCCTCGCAATCCGGGCGAATGCACTGACTATTTTTTTTCTAGTAAAACTTTTGTTTAGATTTAAAGTTTTCTCTTATCGTTCAGCGTGAAGAATTAAGATTGAGCAAGGTGGGGTACGAGCAAGATTTGGAAGCCATATACCGGAGCGACCACGACACCAATGCACAAAGGGTTAGTATCCATGTTACTAATTCAGTAGGTCTTAAAATAATTGGTAATTTTGTATGGTCTTTCGAACCAGATTTTATATTTATATGAAATCAAATATTACTCAACATTAAATAACTTAATTTTTCCAGGTTTTGATAACAGAATACGAATCTAATTTAGCGCAAAGGACTGCTGAGCGTCAGGCCGCGGAAGAACGCGCGCGCGAATACAACGAGAGATACAAACGCTCTAAGGACAAGTTGGAACAGGACTTAATGACAGGTGATTATTAAGAAAGATCTTGCAACAATGCAATACATTTTCAGAATGATTACATTATAGGTAACAAATTGAAGGCCTAGATGAACACTTTCTAAAACTACACAAATATCATAAAGACAGATGTACTGTTGGTTTAAGTAAGGTTTCAAAGCCCAGCAGGGTGTGATTGCATATAGGCCGGTAAACCCATTTAAGCTCGCGGTAATTAGGAATGATTCCTGTCGTCCACATTAGCAATTTTCTAGCGATGTCCTCGTGACATGAACAATTTTCCATGGTTGATATAAAAAAAAATTAGCTCTGAAACCATTTTGATTATGATGTTCGGTGGCCATCATGCGGACCACATCCACATCCAACCTTGTACTCCACTATTTTTATATTAGAAACCTCGATTGTACCCAGAGCGTGAGGCGACCGAAGAGCTGGAAGCGCTAACAGCACTGTGCAGACAGCTGGAGTCGTGGCGCACGGAAACAGAGTCTGACCTCACGGTTAGCCAGCGCATGTCCGACAAGATGCGCGCTGAGAAACGCGCTCTGGCCGACGAGAAACGACAACTGGTAACTTTGATATTACTCCTTTTTCCGCTGCACTCATAAGCATTAATAAACCCTGCGACCTAAGAGCTCGAGGCTCTCACCGCGCTGTGAAAACTGCTGTAGTCATGGCGCACGGAGAAAAGGTTCGACCTTACGGTCAACCAGCATCGCATGCCCGATTAGATTTGAGCCGTCAAACGCGCGCTGGCCGACGGAAAACGCAACTGCTAACTTCGATAAAAAACCTTTTTCAGTTAGTTCCGCACATACAAATTAACAGATTGTCGGCGAGACTCGACAGTTTGGACCAAAGGCTGAGTATAGTGGAGTAGCGACAGGCGGAGATCGGTACGTAGGATATTGCAGACAAGGAGCGCACTATCGCAGATCTCAGACAGGAGCTCAACGTGTGCGACCGCGGCAATATCTTATAGCTGCTAAGATTGCGTACTCGAGCGAACGTCACAATATGCAGTATAAATGAGGTGTACCTTCTGATTGCTTTGGCGAAGTTAGATTTTTTCTTTGTTTTAAGAAACTTTCATTTGTGAATTTGGTAAGTAATTGACCAGTACCCATAATTAGAAATCGTTATTAGCTTAATATTCCTACTACTGTTATATTTTTTATATACAAGGTTCTGACCCATAACTATAATCCAGCACACGGTATTTAAAACTGCAGATGCAGCCGTGAGCAACAGCTTATCCTGCATGCCTTCCGTAGGCGTACCAAGGCTCGAAAATATTCGAGGTAGTTATGTTTTGTCACCCATGCAGCGAAAGGTTGTTTAAAACCAGTAAACGAAACACTGTGCCGTGGAGCTTCTCGTGTTGATAATAAGGAATTCAATTAGGAGTGTACGAGGGTGCTAGCTATTCAGGAAGCCCTCTTTTGTAAAAAATATGTATAACACGATAATACTTCTTTCCTTTGCAGGACATGATAATTTTAAGCTTGAGCAACGAAATTTGGGGGATGGAGTCGAAATTGGAAATGTTCCAAAAACAATTCGAAATAAAAAACGTTGAGATGGATAAAGTGAATGATAAGGTAATATAAAGCCAATGTTTGGCAGCAGTACATGTTGACCACGTCGTAAAAGCTGTGGCTATAACTTTTCTGTATTTAGGTAACGGCATACGCGGCTGAGCTGGAAGACTTGGAACTGGACAAAAGACGGCTAGTGAGCCTCTGGAACTCGGTGCTTGTGAATATACAGCAACGCGACAAGGTTTACGACTCCGTACGAGATGACTACAAGTGAGTATCATGCGCGGGTTGCAAGCCCCCCCAACCGCTAGTTATGTTTATTATTCTATAATTCATAATATCACCAGTCCCGAAACCACGACAATATGGGTTTACTAACAAGCTGTCTATCGCTTCCGGAAAGTTGCGCAATTACACAAAGATTTATTGGGTTCGTATATGAAAGTGACGTCACAATAAAATAACTATTTTTTTACGTGGTTTAAATACATACTTGAGATGAAATGAATTAAAACCATCTTTGATCTATCAATCGTCCTTGTATAATGTTAGATTATTTTTCCAATTCATCTACGCTTTTTGATTGAACCGTAAGCACTGACCCTGTGTCCTATGTCTGAAACATAGAAATCTTCAAGAGAACTACCGTACTCTGCTAAGCAACTTGGAGATCACGAAGAAGGTTCTGATGGAGGAAATGAACCGCAGCAAGGAGCTCGCCATGAACAGGGACAAGGTCGCTTATGATATTGACCACGCCACCAAGTTGTGTGAGTCTGTGATAATAGAAAAATAAACCGGAAATGGAAGCACATTTTTTGTAAAAATTCTGCACTCAATTTACATTTTACAACAATTTACAATTAATTTAATTTTTACAATTTTTAAATTTTGAGTGATATTCTGACTGACTTAAGTCAGTCTTCATTTTATCAGTCTTTATTTTATTCAAAATCTAAATTTTCAAAATACAGTTTATATTATTATTGAAAGGCGTGTAAAATGACAAAGATTTATACTACATATTTCTCATGTTTGTTTTTCATTGTTACTGTTTTGTTTTCAGTTGACACTGAAGATGCGAAAAGATTAAATTTGGAAGCACAAATCGCTGAACTTTCGGAGTCCATCGAGATGACTGAGAGGGATCAAGATATGATTAAATCAGTCTGTCTTATTACCAAAACAGCTTAAAAGTAATGACAAAATTCTATCAAATTGCTAATTAAACTGTGTGTTTTAGGAGAATCAGACAATGCTGAATATATTGAAAAGCACGTCGAATGAAGTCGATCGTAAAACGGAGCAAAAATTGAGATTGGAAAACGAAATCCTCATGAATCTTCAGGAGTGCTTGCTTAACGACAAGGCCGTCGAGTCCATGGCCAATGGCATCAAAAAAATGCGAGAAATGTCCAGGAAACAGGTTCAAGTTATTTTTTTAAATAAAGAATTTGTGTGTATATCTGAGGATATAATTTTTATGTTAAATTACAATACAATAAGCTCTTTTAATTTAATAAGCTTGTATTTGCTTGCTATCTTCAATAAGTAACATAAAAATCAAGGGAATTTATAAGTAGTATAAGGATCTTCGATATATTCTTTCATATTCGTTTATCGGTAAAGTAAGTGGTAGTATTTCTGGAAGATTTATCGTTTCAGGAAATAACTTTAATGACAATGGAGAATCAGCACGCGCAAGTGATGCTAGATATCGAGGTATACCGTAACCGACAAGCACGCAACAATAAGATCCTAGAGGAAAGCCTAGCGAAAGTCCGCGATAGAGAGAAGGAACTCGATCTACTGGAAGAGAAGTTCGAGCAGAAGGCACTCCTCGGCACCAGAAAACAGCGAGAACTCGATATAGTCATTAAAAAGTTTAACGCTTTGAAGGAAATATTTGATGTGAGTCCCCTTTAGTTTCTTTCTTCCTAACAATTAATATATACTTATAAGACGAATACAATGCCATTGCAAAGGCCGTTAATCATTAATAATGGATTAATTCAGAAACATGAATTATAATTTGATTAAAGTTATGGCTGTCTGTTTTCTTTGCTATAATATTAAAGTAAGACAAATACACTCTACTTTAAACGACATTTTTACTTGTGATAAACGATATTAAATACCCTAGATACACCAACACGAACAAAATCATGCCCAAAACCTGTTCAAAAGGTATATTAGACGATCCACGGAGCTCCGTAAGATGATCGCGTAGTCTAAACAATACAAGGCACAATTTAAACATTGAAAATCACCTTTAAAGCACACTGTATAAGGTCTTAACTAAAACGTAAGCGTCAAAGAGTTATGACAGTTCGAAATGTAAACTCGTAAAATATTACGACGTATTGCTATATGCGGAAGAATATAAAGCTCATTTCTTTGACTCTACGCGCAATTCTGAATGCGCTGTTAGCACCTCCATGGTCGAGTGGTTTGTACGCCGGGTTTCATGGTGTCGCCTACTCGAGAAGTCCCGGGTTCGAATCTCGGTGGGGGCAGATGTTTGTGTGATGAATACGAGCATTTGTACTCCAGTCACGGATGTTTAATATGTATTTCTATATGAATATACTTATATATGTACTGTATTCTGTCCGTTACCCTAGTATCCCATAACGCAAGCCTTATAGTGCTTACTTTGGGGCTAGGCTAATTGGTGTGTGTTGGAAATATAAAAAAAAAATAGCAATATAGCAGGTACGGACGGATCACGAGGAAAAGAGTCGGCTATATTACTGACCATGCATTTGAATATCACAAATATTTTCTATTAAATCCGTTAATAGTAAGTATTAAAATTTGCTTCGAATGCGTTAAATTGACAAACATAGATTAGATACCTATCGAAAAAACGTCATTTTACATACTATTAGTATTTATTTCGCATTTTTTCACGGGGCTCAGTGGCATGTTGACTTTTCAACCGTCCGCGTGACTGTGAATCAAGAAGTACTTGATTGGTGTTCAAGCACTTCTTGATAGGGACAAATTTTGCGCACGTGGTGTATCTAGGGTAACATCGTTGTTTGTGATCTTTAAATTACAACCGTAAGTATGATAGGCTAAAATTACTATAAGTAACGTTCTACAAGAAAAGCTACTTTATGTACCCAGGCTGTATTACGATGAATTCGTAATTCCAGAAAGTTTTATTGATAGAGCATCTTAAGACAATCTATACATCTTAAATAAGACATCTTATACGCAGAGTTGGGAGAATATCCGCTTAAAATGCTGTTTTTGCCTGGCGTTTGAGTTCATAGTACGGTTACTCAATACAAATTACCGTGACTTAATCAATAGTAAATAGCAATGAATTAAGATTCCCTAAGTTTTCCCATAGATGAAGTCTCCACAAGAGCGTCGCATCGACGAATTGGAGCAGCAGATCAAGGGGCTGCGCGAGCGCACGGAGGGCTTGCAGCACGAGTGGCTCAGACTGCAGGGGCACGTCGTCAAGCTCACCGCGCAACACCACAAGGTCGTCGCTGACATCAACCTCATCGGAAAACGTGAGTGCTTTCCATTGTTATGAAATCTCAACATGAGAGCTTGCAGCAGGAGTGGCTCAGACTGCAGTGGCACGTAGTCGAGCTAACCGCGCAACACCACAAGGTCGTCGCTGACATCAACCTCATTGGCAAACGTAAGTGCTTTCCAATGTTATGAAGTCTCCATAAGAGGGCTTGCAGCACGGGTGGCTCAGACTTCAGGTCAGGTGAAATACTAGTGAAATGAAAAAGGTTTTGCTTTTAGTAATTTCTGCCATAAGAATGAGAAAGCGTTTGAAGCGTGTTCCGGATGCGTAAATCATTACGTCGGCGTCGTTGGCAGAGTCTAAAATAACGGTTATCGGCAGAGTCTGAAAAAACGCGATTTATTCAGCAGCTACAGTATTTACATAATAAGTGCAAAGGATGTACAAGTTAAAAGAGCACTCGCGGCACTAAAAAAATATTCCACTGCTTTTTTGTTTGTGTTATACCTATTCCACCAAAGCTCATAGTTACCGCACTTCCTACAGAAATCCAAATTTGCGAGCAGAAGTCCATGCGCATACAAACAGAGTGCGAAAACGTATTGATGGAGAGAAACCGCGTGGAACGATCACTGCGGTCGTTACGAGGTCGCCTGGAGGTGCTGGAGCGCACTCGCAAAGACGCCGTCGAGAGAAATCAGACCGCACAGAAAGCCACACAAGCCATCACCCACGAGTACGTGGCTAACCTTAAGGTGAGTGAACAATCGGAACCTCAAGTGGAGTGAATAGCTAGAATCTCTCATTTGGCGAAAAGGAACTGATTCTGCTGGAATTGCTGGAGCACATGGACGCCGCCTAGAGGGACCGGAGACATCATCAAAGCTTATGACCAACCTCAAGGTGAGTAGAATAGCTGGAAGCTTAAGGTAGATGAACAGCTAGAATCTCACAGTGAGGGATAATCTGGAACTGATTCTGCTGGAAATGCTGGAGTACGAAGACGTCCACCGACAGGAACCAGAGGTACCTACGAGTACGTGGCCAACCTCAAGGTGAGTGAACTGCTGGAACTTCCAGTTGAGTATATAGCTTACTTCTTACCTCAAGATAAGTGAATAGCTGGAACCTCTAGGTTAATGAATAGTTAGAACTTCACAGTGAGGAAAATTCTGGAACTGATTCTGCTGGAAGTGCTAGAGCACGAGGACACCGCCAAGAGGTACCAGAGACCATCACCAACGATTATGTGGAAACCTCAAGGTAAGTGTACTGCTGGAATTTATGCAGGAAGTGGGACGAGAGGCCACAGAAAGTAACGCCGGCCATCACCCCCGAGTACGTGGCCAACCTCAAGTGAAGGTAAGAGTATCCGTCAAACAAGCACGGATATTATGCATGGTGAGCACAAAAAAGGAAACCAACCTAATAATGGGTGCTTTCTAAGCAGCTGCTGCGCAAGAGACCACATTACACGTCGGACTTAGTAGTTAGTTGAATAAGTATCATACAAAATACTCATATTATTACTTTGTTAAATAAAATCTGGTATATTGGAATAATGGAATTAAAAGTTCCTATTTTCAATTATTGACAGGACGCAGAGACCCAAATAATTCAACTGGAAGAGGAAATAGAAGCGATGGACAAAGAAAAAGTTAATTTGACGCAACAGCTTGATCAAGTACAGAGAGAAGCACTGATATGGCAGAGAAAGGTTGCTCAACTTCTATTCATTTAATTTACTTATACACGCTATAAAATTTGTTTCCTATACCTAATAAAGTTGCATGTTTTGCTTCTCCAGGGAATTCTGGCAGTTGAGTTAAAGAAAAATATTCACAACGCTAAATCTGCGGCTGGTGAAATTGGTCAGATGAAGAATGAAATACACAGGATGGAAGTAATTAAACTCTAGATAACCTTAATCATCCTAAATGTTAAAATAACTAGTACGAGAGAATAGTAAAGGGGTACACCCCTATAAGTCACAATTAACCCAAACCGTTATAAGGTAGTAGTCATAGCACCAATGGCCGACAGGAGGCAGTGATCGTTTTTTTTCTGTGATCAATGAAAATAAGTTTGATTGGCCGGTCGCTGAGTATGATAACACAGACTTAGAGACGCTCGGTGTTAACATGTTTAGTGATCGGTTGCCTATTATTTTCATTTATTTATCTTATTTTCAATGATCATGGAAGGTAATGTGCCATTACGTAAGTGCTTGATATGCGGATTCGCAGTCTATTGAGAAAATTTTACATTGGTAGCTTGATGTGTGTCTGTCTGTACCCCTTTCCAAGTTAAAACAGTAAAAACATCTAAAAGGCATTTTTGCATACATAATATATCAGTTCCAAAGGGCCATACGGGAGAATGTCCGGTTTACCGCAATAACTGTCATAGCATATTGTAAAGCTAGGGTATAATTGTCTAGGCGTAAAGTTAAGGCAAGATTCCTGCTTGAAAGCCGCAGCCACCAACTTTTCTTCTCCTTAGTCTTAGTCTTAGTAGAACGGCGGGCTGTTTCCGCAACTCGACATCGAATTCTTCTCCTTAAATATGTCATACAAAATCACGCATGACAGGTCCGTCGAGAGCAACTGCGGCGTACCAGCGAGAAACTGGCAGAAGATCTTGCATTATACGTGACTCGACGCGACACCGCCATGGAGAAGAGCCGTGCCGCCGCAGCCGTAGAGAAAGCGCACGGTGGCAACGGGAACACCTCGCAGTCCACCTACCACCACAAACTGAGGCTGGCTAGGGCTGACGTCGCGAGAGTCACTAAGGTACCTACAGATAGTGATTAAAATAAGAAGTATCGTCCGCATACGTGTGGGTAAAGTAGGCGTACGGCGGCAACGAAACACCTCGCAGTCCTCCTACCAACACAAGTTGAGGCTGGCGAGGGCAGACGGCGCAACAGTTCTAACCATAACTATACTATTAGAACAACTGTACGTTTCGTCAGCATCCATGTCAGTAGAGAAGGCTCGCGGTGGCAACGGGAACACCTCGCAGTCCACCTACCACTACAAACTAAGGCTGGCTATGGGCTACATAGCAGACGTCGCTAAAATTACTTAGATATGCCATTATAGGTACTAGTAGAACAACTTAACGTAACGTCAGCATCCATGGGAGCAGAAAAGGCTCACGCTGGCGAGGCCAGAGAGTTTCTAAGGTATACCATTAATAGAACAACAATAAAATTATTATCAGCTTCCGTATATGCTGTCACCGCCAAGGACAAGGCACACTGTAGCTACCGGGACACTTCAAAGTCCTCCTAACACCACAAGCTGAGACTGGCGAGGGCAAAATTCGCGATAGTTACAAAGGTAATCTATAGATAGTGATTAAAATAACAAGTATCGTTACTATCGTCAGTATACATATAATTAGACACCGCTATGGAGAAGTCGCACGCCTGCAACAGAACACCTCGCGGTCCATCTACCACCACACGCTGAGGCTGGCGAGAACGTACGCAGCAAGACTTACTAAAGTACCTTAACAAAAATAAAACCATCATCATCAACAAACTTGCCTGAGATTACAGATGCAACCAGATGAGTCAACGTGCATATCCCTATGCGGTGTATTCTTAATACCATCATAAGCTGAGCTGGATTGGGCAGATGTCGCCACTTGCCAGAAATACATCAGCGCTCTATTATTGGGGGTTAGGCCTATTCAGCCTCGTGCTTCAAAAAACATGTTTAGTAGCAGATCTCGGTTGAATTTGCAGTCATAAACATATCACTCGCGTAGAAAACCCTTGGTCTCGATGGCGCAGGACAGGAGGTTAAAATAAATAAATAAATATTTCCAACACACACCAATTAGCCTAGCCCCAAAGTAAGCACTATAAGGATTGTATTATGGGATACTAGGGTAACGGATAGAATACATATACTGTACATATATAAGTATATTTTTTATAGAAATACATATTAAACATCCATGCCTAGGGTACAAATGCTCGTATTCATCACACAAACATCTGCCTCCACCGGGATTCGAACCCGGGACCTCTGGAGTCGGCGACACCATGAAACCCGGCGTACAAACCACTCGGCCACGGAGGTCGTCCAACGTCGGAGGTTAGCTCGTTCGATCTATAATCGTGGAATTTAAGCAACTTTCGCAAAGGTCAGTCATGGGATATGTGAACAAAAACATTATCTCTAGCTCCACCGTGATTCGGAAGGCCAGGCAAGCCGTTGATCCCGGCTGCATCTGCAATGGTTAGTACTAGTACCCACCAATCCGCACTGGGCCCACGTGGTATGTTATGCCCCAATCTCCCTATTTTATCCATAGGGAAAGCATGTGCCCCAGCAGTGGCGACATTCATAGGCTGTGATGATAATGATGAAACATTTCATAAACCTTATCATGTCCCATTACGCAGGACCTGGCAGAAGCAAACGCACATCTTGAAGAGTTGCAGCAGGAACAGTCTCGACTAGAGAGTGCCCTATCAGACACGGCGGCCACCAACGCGCGGCTAGAAGAAGAAATCGCTACATTGTTATCAGAGTGTCGTAGTGCAGAGCGCGAGAAACAATGGGTACGTTTCTTCTTTTAAAAATATAACAGAGGACTCACTGAACAACTCACAACAATAATTTCCCAAGTCATGCAGCTTGTATTGAGGTAAGTTCACATGCGATAGAAGTGAAACTAATAAAAATATGAACACATAAAAGTACTTCATATCAACGTCTTATGAAAAGTGATCGATTAATTAAATCAGAAGGCTGAGATATCTTCAGCATATTGACAAAACATCAACAGCACATCTACTGTATAAATACATAATTATATATAAACTAGCTAAACTGGCGAACTTCGTCTTATTGTGTAAGTATGTTTCTGAAAGACTGGCAAAACGGTTTAACTGTTTTTGCCTGCTGTCGATTCTGTGTTCATATTTTTGTAGGTTTCACTTCTATCGCATGTGAACATGCCCATTTTTTTCTTTTTCTTAGGTTTTATTTATTTTTATCAAAATATTGCTTTATTCAGAAAAATATATCACTAGCATGCATCACATGCTTTCGATCGTCGCATTGTTACTAATTTCAAAAAACCGTCAGTACGTCCACACAAAATTACTTGCATTTTTAATTTACTTTCTGTCACTTACATAAATTTATACGTTTGCCAAAACGATGATAAAAAGTCCTCATTACATTGCAAAAATAAAAAAACCAGAGCTGTACTAATAAACTACCTACTTACCATACGTTTGATACTGAATAATTCAGGCATTGTAATAATTATGCCGGGCAAACTTGAATATTCATAAATAATGTTCCAAAAATTAATAATAGCGCTGGTAAAATAAAATTGGCCGAGCTCAGGATCGAATCACCGATTTTTTGGTATCGACCCTAAGGTCGATTTCATTCGGCTATCCGTCTCTTGCAGCGTGTTACAAAAAAATACGGATACCTACCTTGTGTCAAATACTCTACTTCCGTTTCATCGAATCTCAAGTCACAACGACACCAAAGAAGTTTTCACTTCAAAAAGTATACCTATAGGTGAAACCCAATTCTTTAGCTTGATGGAGTAGAATTTAGCGTGTTCAGTCTGCAATCGTGCAAGTTGATCAACTTTTGCGATGATCCAAAATGAATCATTTCAAGCTCCTTCGTACTTTATAAGGAATTTTAAGCCATTGATCCCGGCTACATCTTCAGTCGCTAGGCTCGCTAAGCCTGTTATCCACATTAAGGAACGCTTGCATGCCAGCATTGTGTACATTAATAGGCTGAAGATGATCTAGGTATTTTATTTATTCAATCGTGTTTTCCACAAATCAGATTAATACATGGCGGATACGGCACTACGTAGGAATTCTTTGCCAGTCAACCAGTATGTGTGATGATGAAGTTTTTTTCCAGCTCCTAGAACGAGTGGTCCGCAGTCAGCGATTAGGAAACGAACTAGCCACAGCAGTGAAACGGCAGTCAGTCCGCGTCAGAAAACCAAAGTCTTCAGTCATCGCCGAGTACAACCAGGCGCGCTCGCTCAACGATCGCCTTCGCTTCGTGGTAGAATCCTTGGTCAGAGAGTATCCTTACTTGAGTGACAAATTTGATGTGATCTTGAACACTCTGAACATACATAGTCCGGGAGGATCGCCCCGGCTTGCTGATGAGGCTGGTAGCTGTTCTCAAGCCGATCTAACTGAGATACGAGAGGAGCCTTTGACGGAAGACGTCGCCGAGAAACCGCTGAGCCCTTAATTTATTGGCATTAGCAGCAGGAAATTAGACTAGCTCAATAACAATTTGATCACGAAAAATGTTTGAAAAGCAGATAGTGTTATTGAATAATTGGAATTACTGATGACAGTTCCGATCATTATCGAATGTGTCTTTAGACAAAAAGCGTTTACAGAACACGCCCATGCGTTATATAAGCTATACCATAGAATGCCAGCGATATTTTTTCTTCTTTAGACATTGGATGAGTGTAGTATTTGAATTTGTATCTAGCTTGTTTTGTGTGCGTCTTATTATATGTGTGAACTTGCAATTAATAAACACAAAAGATTAACATAAATATAATTTATTTTAAAACAACCTTAGTTTTAATGTCAACATTTATAAATACGTTTAATAATATATTAGCTCGAATCTTAGGTATATTTATTTACAATAACATAATACTCTCAGAATTGAAGAACACAATACGAGACATTTTGGTTCGTTTGCCTTCCCACACAATACAATAGTTTTGTAATAGACACCATCAAAACTCCAAAAAATAAGAATAGTTCACATTAATACGTGTTTAAGGTACAATTTCAATTGAAGCACAATAACATAACGCAGTCACGCATCACTTGCAGATCAGTCGTTTGCTTGCCTCTGAATGCTGAAATAAACAAAGAACGTTTAATTTGGTTCCATTTGTTGACTTTAGGCAGAGCTTTATTTTAAAAATAAAAATGAAACGCATTATTTTAGAAAAGAAAAGAAGAGGAAAGCTATTTATTTGGAATCAAAATACTAGTGTAAATAAAACACTAAAATTACAATTTCAAAAACACTAATACAGACTGAACTAAAACATAATAATATATATAGTATAAACGTGTGCTGTTTTTTGGTTCTCTTTAAACTATACAACTATCATATAAAACTGTAAAATTTCTACATAGGATTTTTAATCTTTTCAAAGTCCAATATAAAGTTCATTTCAAAATCGCTGAATTTTGTCATTTCGCTTCCCCAGGTGGTTGCTTCCCCAGACGGATGATCCAATTTGAGCGGGTAATCGGTCTGTAAGGTGAAGGTTGCTACCCCAGATGGGTGATCCAATTTGAGCGGGTAATCTATCTGTAAGGTTAAGGTTGCTTTCCCAGCCGGGTGTTCCAATTCGAGCGGAAAAACCGCTGTGCCTGTGTCTTGACCTACTGTGTTGTTCTTTCACACGTTATTCGCCTCTATTTCCTGTGACATAAGGTTCGTTCGCGGGGCGGAGGAGATGAGGTGTCGGTCATGCGCGGTGTATTCGTGCCGCTTGCGGTTGTCGAGTCGCACATATTCACGATTCTTTAAAATACTGCTGTCGTTACATACGATACTCGCCTCTGCTGCCTGATGCATAAGGTGCGTTCTCGAGGCGGAGGAGATCAGATCTTGACGCCTAAATACTCTAAGGGGTGTTTCACGCTAGTCTGGCGTACTGTTATCCTTACACACGATAGTGACCTCTATTACCTGGTGTATAAGGTGGCGTCTTGGGGCGGAAGTGAAGAGATGTCGCTCGTGGTGTATTTCAAATGGACTGCAAAATTTTGACTTTCGCGCAAATACACTAAACTGCAAAAGTAAGTTTCACATTTTTATAATTGCAATAACTTTTAAGGTACAAAATATTTACTTTCGAAATAATGAGGACTTGAAAAGAGTTTGATTCTGTGTATATGTTTCAAAAGAAGCTGATAGTATTTGCTATAATTAATCGGTTTTATTTTAAATCTTTAACTTCTTTAGTTTAGAAAAAAAATATTATACTTAGTTTTGCAGGCCAGTGTTTAATGCAGGATTTCGTAATTTCGCGCCAGTTTGACTTACTGTTCTCCATACAAACGATACTCGCTTCTATTCCCATCAACATAAGGTAAGGTGCATCCTCGAGGCGGAGGTGAAAAGATGTCGCTCGTGGTACAAAAAGATTGCGCGCAAATAGACTGAAGAATTTTGTCATTTCACGGCAGTTTGACCTATTGTTATCCGTACACACGATACTCGCCTGTATTCCCTGCTGCATAAGATGCGTTCTCGAGGCGGAGGAGATGAGTTGCCGCTCGTGCGCGGTGTATTCGTGTCGCTTGCGGTGGTCGGATCGCCCGAACTTCACGCCGCAGTACTTGCACGGGTATTTCTTAATTTTGGTGTGACTTATCATGTGCGTGCGTAGGTACCTGTTTAAGATTCTTAATAAAAATTTAAGTAAGGTCACCCGGGGTTGTTTTAGCCAGGGGGCAAATGTAGCTGTTTCAAATAAGGATATAATTTTTTAGTAAAAAAAGGTCGCCAGATGGCGATATATTTTAGTAAGTATTTTAACGCGCGTTCATAAGAAGTCACCAAATTTTATAGTATAATTACTTAATATTGTTTTACATTAATATTTAATTGCTACATATGATGTCGTGGCCTTTTTACCCGGCTGCGCAATGCAAGAGCGCGAAGCGCGACGCGCAGACAGGGTTATGTGTTTAACAGTCTAATGTATGTTTGTTCCTTTGTGGCACACTAGAGACCAAACGCCTGGACCGATTTTGATGATTCATACATCAATCGATTCGTCTCAATCATGGGAGTGCTACTAAAGATATGTTAGTAATCAAAATTCAATATGGGCAAAATTAGGCGCCATATTGTGACGAAGTAAAAATAAATAAGTTGACAAAATATGTCGAGTGGGGTATCATTGTCTAGATAATCAAAAATCATATTTAGATTCCTAACACCATTTTTCATTTAATATGATTATTCAGGATCTACAACGCATTAAAGTTGTATATTAACCACTTACGCTTTTAATTTCAATCTTACGTTTGTATGGATCTTTGTTACTCTTTCAACTAAAAAATATAGAATGGATTTTAATGAAACTTAACAGTAATATAGCTCATATATGATAATTACATATATATATATATATAATAATTTATGTAGTTATTGAGTGAATTGGCCAATATATAACAATAAGTGTCACATAAGACGGAAAAAAATCTCCCATCTGCGAGCCATTTTGGCCTGCACTGCAAAAACAATAAAAGTTACATGAATGTAATGTAGAGTAAAAATGTATCTCTTAAATAGTTCTAAAAAAAAATCCGTGACACCATATATCTATTTTTAATGTGTAAGTCATTACCGCTAAAAAAGTGAATCAAAACTAAAATATTATTTGATATCTATTTCCAAAATGCACATTTTGTATTAACAAATCATTTTTTATCAAAACAAATACTTTTATCGCTTTTGATATTTAAAGACGATAAACTTTGCTTTTTACACTATGTCATTTCGACAAATATTTAAAAAGTTACAACGATGACAAAGTGATAGCGCGGTGTAAAATGTAAAAGAAAAAAAAGGGCTATTCGCAGTATCTGATCCTATACGAAGCACTAACAATATAACTGTGATACAGTTCCTACTTATTAAATGATGAAAAATATATTATCATAAGAGGTATTTATGATTGTTGAATTTTAATGATAAACTCAGAATTTTACTGTTTTTCATTTTTTTAACGATATTACTTAATGTTACAAAAAAGGTTTACTTAATATAATGACAAATAACCCATTTTTCGCTAGTAAGTACATACTTATTGGAATCCCTGTATTTATTAATCAGCTCGCGATAATATTGGTTTTGTAATAATTCTGCAAAATTCAAAGTAAATAATGTAGATTTTTATAGGTAAATCACCCTATAAATATTGCGATGTTGTAGCCAAGAGCCAAGGTCCCATCTACTTCTATATGGGAATTCATTATATTCGATTTAGCTATTAGGGCACGGAAGCGCAACAACCAATCTCACTTTCACATCTATAATATTATATTATACTTACTAGTAATCCACCCGGGCATTGTACGGGCGAAATTTATTTATCGGGATAAAATATAGCCTATGTCACTCGGACAAAATGTATTTAAATAAAGAAAAATGTAATAATAAATAATGTAGCTACCTTATGATGAATTAATATTTGAAACCAGTTCAGTAGTTTGACAGATTATTTGTTACAAACATACAAATCTTGCTTCTTTATAATGTTAGTATAGATAGTTAGGATAAGATAAGTATTTAATTGATGAAAAAGATTTAAAAATAAAGTAAGTAATAGGTTTATTTCATTATATTTGTAAAAGTTACTTAGCATTTGTGCTTAACAGTGATACGTAATTCGGTTATTTTTTTAAACAAAAAAATATTTGGAAAATAATTGCCATGATTGCCCTACTGGGAGTACTCTTCATTCGAGCTTTACACTACCAATAAAAAAGGGTCGATCTCAAAGTCTTTGACCTGTTATATGTGAACGCTTTAAAAGAAAACTACAAAGAGAACTATAAATTGATAATAAATGAGATTGCTATGGTGCTCTATCTAACGTTATGAAAATTTTATTATGCGCCTTTAGTTTAATCAAATATTATAAACTTTGCTTTGGTGATTGCATAATTATTTAATTTAGTGTTCTAAGGCAGTTGCCACCATTGTCCAAAACAACAGACGGGGATTACTGCTTTCTTCAACCTGCGACATAAACGTCATTGATTGGTATTGTATATAGGGTGATTAAAAACATTTGAAGTTAACTTCTGGCATCTACATATTGGGTTTCTGTGAATTATGTAGGTATATCAAATTATGAGACTAGGGACTGACACTGCATTGTGTATATCACAATCATAGACGTCCGGCATTGACATGACAATGCAGCCACTGCCAATTTTAAATAGTCGACGAATAAAAGTAAATGAATTTTATATTTACTGCTAAACTATTAAAAAAAACATAAACAAAAGATGACTTTTTGAGTAAGTTCTAGTTTACTATAAAATTTACATACATTAGAGATATTTATGTAATGACTTGATTTAACTTCACACATTTTTGCGAAAATTGAGCCTATCTGTAGCCTTGACCCCGCTGGTAAAGTCTCTATATGTCTTAATAAATCAATCTTTTAGACCGACGCAAGGTACTTAATAATTCCCGCGATATTAATTCCCTTACTGAAGTAACAAGACTACGGTATATACCGTCTTAAAATACTAACTAACTAAAAAGTGTGAAATAAAAAAGGTAAATTTAAAAAATCAAAAAACCCGACTGCTTAATTATACTTCAAATAAAAACTGAAAAGAAAAAAACAAGTCCAGTAGTCTATAATTCTGTTAATAAGGAACAAAGCTACTTTAGCAGTCGGGACCCACTGTTGAAAAATATTATGTATTCTTGAATATCTAATGGGTCCCGACTGTTCTGCGGCAGCATGCGTATCTTTTAAGGATTTTTTTCTCCTCAAATTAATGCAAGTAAACAGCAGGGCACCTCTACCATATATATTTCGAATCGGGCCTGTTGAATGTAACAAGTATAATACAGTACCCCTAGCACGAACCATTATCGAATTCTATATATTATATTATAGCGAAGTTTGCGAGTGCAAAATGTCAATGTCAAATTTTGTATGGAAACTTGAACAGCAGCGCCACAAAGTACGTAACGAGAATTAAAAATCAGAACACATTTGACAATGGCATTTCGGACTCGCAAACTATTCGAATTCGATATTGGTTCGTGCTAAGGTACAGTGTGTTATTTGGCCTTAGTTGCGTGTTACGGGTACAGATCTTACCTGTCTCTGTCCGTAATTAAAGGTCTTACTTAGCAAGGATGCCTGCTTCCCGCAATGTTACTGAAAATCTTAGATTAAAACAAAAAGGGAAGATACGGTACGCTCATACTAGCATCAAATAAAATATGACCCGACTCAACTGCATAAGCAACTCTCACACACGCACACTGCTATAAATAAACATTCAATCGAGTGAGCGAGACAACTGTACCCTTAGCACGAACCAATATCAAATTCGTATCGTTTGCGAGTCCGAAATGTAATTGTCAAATGTGTACTGATTATTAGTTCTCGTTACGTATTTTGTGCCGCTGCTGTTCAAGTTTCCATACAAAATTTGACATTGACATTTCGGTTTGCAAACTATTCGAATTCGATTAATGGTTCGTGCTAGAGGTACTGTACGCTTCAACGCAGCCCGAGCGAAACGGCAAATCCGCGTCGCTTGGCAATCGACTGCGTTTTTTTAGCAATAAAGCAGAATATCACCAATATTGTTAAATGAAGTGCACATGCAGCGTGTTTGGATGTCCAATTGTGACTAAAGCGAATTGTTTTCATGCACAGAGCTACACTTTTGAGTCGCGAGTGCCGGGAAGGTATTCCCTTTGTGTTTTAATCGAAGCTCTAAATCTATTATGCGTTACTATTGTTGACTGTATATAACATTGTGTGATGGAAACAAATAAATATTATTTCTACTCCAGTCATGGATGTTTAATATTTATTTCTATATAAATATACTTATATATGTACAGTATATGTATTCTATCCGTCACCCTAGCATCCCATAACACAAGCCTTGCAGTGCTTTGGGGCTAGGCTAATTGGTGTGAGTGTTGGAAATATTTATTTATTTATTATTAAAATTACCCTGGTCTCGCGAAGGTCATGTCACACAGTGAACAATTGTAAGACTTGGTGTCCTTGTGCAGCATGCGGTGGTTCTTGAGCACCGTCACCGATGAGAAGAACTTGCCGCAGTCCGGACACTCGTACGGCTTCTCTTTGGTGTGACTCCTGAAATGATATTAAATTGGACTGGGATATTGTTCACAGTGAACGTTTGATTCCTAATGGCGCGATTATACTTGGTCGTTAGCCCGTATACCAGTGCCAATGGAATTCGGGTAAACGACTAAATGTAAACGAACGGAGTTCAATACACAGATCACTATATATGTAGCAAGCTAGTTCAATACGCCCGTATAGGGTAGATTTCGTTTTGTTTTCCCACCACCGTCTTCCAGTGTAAATATTGATTCGGATGCCCAAATTCGAGTAATGTATTTCGTGCACCCAAATACGTGCTACGACCAAATATAAACGAGCCATTACGTAAGCCAATAACAGTTGAGCGCGATGCCGCTTTACAGTGCAAATAGCTATTTTGTTAGAGAGACACGACATATGCTCTTTCATTATATGCATTCCTGGATGTAGTATTAACTACACGGAAGCGACTGAAAAATATCTACTACATACATGGTAAATAAGCTCGTCGCTACACACGCACACATAAACTGTTTTCAAACAATCTGACATTAAAGTCACACACACATTGCGCGTAACACTATTTTTTCGTTTCGTATATATATTCGTATTTATGACACCGCCATAGATCATCAATCATTGTTGTTTTAGTATCCTTTTTGAGATGGCAATTCATCCTTATAAATGTTTCGAACATACATCCACTAGCACTGACAATATGTTTTTCTATCAAATCGGCGTTTGTGCGCTTGTGCAGTTCAAGATCATGTGGCTCTGTCTGTGCAAAACCTGTTGATGCTTTTACTTGAATGTAAAGTGTAAGTAGTTAAGCAGGGGGATTAATTTTATAGACAAGTAGTAGAATCAATATACCTATTACAATCAATTAACCATATATAATTATATTTGTTTCTTAGGTTTTCACGCACATCACTCATTAAATAAAACTAGTTTTTACGGGTTAATGCACGAAACTTCAATAAATAAATAAAGTTCATATATAATTAAACAACACAACACGTACCTTAAATGTATTTGCAAATGATATTTCTTGAAAAAACTTTTTGAACAATACTGGCACATGTGCGATTTCTCTTTATCATGCACTTGTCGTCTGTAACAAACATAAGATTAAATTTTTTATGCCATATCTAAATGAAAAATCATCATACGACATAAATCACAAAAAGGCGGTCAACTCACTTGTGTTGCAACGCCATGATCTTGGTGCGGAACCTTTTGTCGCAATGTTCGCAGGCGTATGGCCTATCACTGGTGTGAACAGAGGCGTGCGCTTCCAACGCGGACTGTGATATGAACCGGCGTCCGCAAGACACGCACTCGTGTTGTAACTGCGATGATTCGTGCACTACCATCATGTGCTGCTTGATGTTCACTACCACTGGGAATGGATAATAAGATACACTTCCGGACTTGGCCCACCAAGCATTTTAAGTTTTGACGGTCCCTGGTTAAAACTATTATGTTACTATTGTTTTAAACTTTCATGGTCACCAACATTATAGCTATTAACGGGATTGTTACCATGTACATTGTTTTTTTGTTGTTTGTTGTTGTCGTATGTGCAAAAAAGTGTCGTTCCGCGATCTGAGACTGTGAGTATTGTGTGCCGGGAACAGGTGCGAGTGAATAGTGTGAGAATGTGGTGGAGAGAAGGGGTATCGAGCGCAGTTAAAGACGATGTCAGAGAGTAGACCGATATTTGCGGGATATACCGGTAATTGCGGGTAAATGTTATTGGCCAATAACATCTACCCGCAATTACTTCAGTTACTCCGTAATCATGGCGCTTGCAACAGTGCCGAAATATCGGAGACTGATAATAAACAAGGTACATGGTAACAATCCCGTTAATAGCTATAATATATGTTGCTAATTTATTAAACATCTTTTTCATCGAGAGTGCTAAAGCAAAATCGCTTAAACGCGACTTTAGTAACTTTACAGAAATGGGGATCAGTTTTTTTTTCACAAAAAATATCATAACTTGTTGTAAATGAGAAGTGCCACCATAACAATAAAATCATTTTCATAAAATAATATATTATAAATTTAATATCCTCTTATTAAAAAGTTACATAGTGCATTTACGAATAAGATGTCTCTTAAGCGATAATCACACACACACACGCACGCCCGTAAGGAACGCTTTACGTGGTAAAACCACACGCTCCATTGTGTGGTCCGTAATTTTGAACTTTTGAACAATGTATACAACCTCCGTAAATGCATTTTTTGAGCAAATGTGTTGAAAACAAAGGTTTCGTTTTTTTCCTTTCCTTTGAATTTTATTTCGACCTATCCATATTGCTTACCATATTGTCTGGCCTTCAAGTACATACCAAAACCATGGAGGGAGGCAAAAGTAGTCTTCTTACCGAAACCAGGCAAGGACGACTATACACAAGCCAAGTCCTTCAGACCAATAAGCCTAACCTCTTTTCTCTTGAAAACATTGGAAAGACTGGTAGACCGACACCTTAGGGATGGAGCACTAAGTAAGGCTCCGCTGCACCCTCAACAACATGCCTACAGAAAAGGCAGATCAACAGAGTCGGCACTGCATGCAGTAGTCCACAAAATAGAGTCGGCAATTACAAATAAAACCTCAACATTAGCAGCCTTCATAGACATAGAAGGTGCTTTTGACAAAACGATGCACAACAGCATTAACCACGCCCTAAGAAAACTCAAGGTGGACCAAGTCACCAGAGGTTGGATCACCGAACTGGTCGGCAAAAGGGCGGTTCAGATAGTGGGGAACGCTACCACGCGTGCGAAGGTAGTTAGAGGATGTCCCCAAGGGGGAGTCCTATCACCACTTCTCTGGAACATAGTAGTGGACAGTCTCATACGGAGTCTGAATGACAGAGGATACACTACTATTGGTTATGCGGACGACCTAACAATTCTGATAAATGGGAACGCTGAAAATGTCCTTTGCAAGGTTATGCGTTCAGCCCTTCAGATTGTGGAAAAATTGTGTGACGAACATCACTTGTCAGTAAACCCGAACAAGACAGAGCTAGTCCTTTTCACCAACAAAAGGAAGCTACCTGAACTACAGTTACCAAAACTGTTTAAAACCAAACTCTCCCTATCAACACAAGTGAAATATCTGGGCGTAATCCTGGATAACAAACTGAATTGGGCGAGTCATATTGATATAAAAACAAAGAAGGCCTGCATAGCTTTTAATCAGTGTAGAAGACTAGTTGGTAAAAAGTGGGGTCTAGGTCCAAAGATCACCCTTTGGTTATACACAGCAGTCATCAGGCCCTCTATAACCTATGGTTCAGTTGTTTGGTGGCCCAGGAAAGTGACCTGACCACAGTGAAATCCATACTCCAAAGTCTACAACGCTTGGCGAGCGTAGCAGCAACTGGATGCATGAGAACAACTCCATCGGCTGCTTTAGAGTACCTCATGAATTTAAGACCATTGGACCTGGTCATACAAGAAGAGGCGAAAGCAGCAGCCTTGAGACTAAAATCTCTAGGATTATGGAGATTAAATACTGTAACAACACACTCCAATATTCTACAAAAGTGCACAAAGGAGATTCCACTCCTGGAGGCACCTATGGATAGAGTATTGAGTCAACACGTTTTTGATCGAAGATACAACATCCAACTTACCGCGGAAAAGGCAGATTATTCTGGCGCCGGGGAAGTTAGGATATACACGGATGGCTCCAAAACCAACAGTGGTACTGGAGCCGGTGTCTTCTCAAACGACCTGAATATAAAAATATCCACAACCTTAGGCAAACAAAGCACAATCTTCCAGGCGGAATGTATTGGCATTACCAGAGCGGCACAGGCGGTTGCAGCCAGAGACATCAGAGAGTATAACATCAAGATCATCTCTGACAGTGCATCCGTGCTTCAAGCCCTACGTAGCAACACAATAAACTCTGTCCTAGTAATGGAGTGCCACAAGGCACTTCAATTCATTGCGGTTAGCAACACGGTAACTCTGCAATGGATAAAAGGACACAGCAGCTCAATCGGAAATGACGCAGCAGACGAGCTGGCCAAGAGGGGAGCAGACACAAAAGTGTACGGTCCGGAACCTTTGCTGCCCATACCTCAGGCCCAAATTAAAACGTGGCTGCGTGAAATAACTCAAAAATCACACTTGATGGGGTGGAAAACAGGTGAAGGATGCCGGCAAACGAAAAACGCGGTTCCTGCGGTAAATAAAAGTTTTGCCCGCACCCTTACCAGACTAAATAGGGACAAACTTCGCAGGATTATAGGATCCCTGACTGGCCATTGTCCCCTAAACAAACACCTATATACAATAGGAGTAACGGACAGCCCCCTGTGCAGAGGATGCATGGAGGCGGAAGAAACGCCACAGCATGTCATCATGGAATGCAGGAGTGTGGCCGACCAACGGGCACGACTTCTCCAGTCACCAGAATCGTTTCCGGAAGCTTGCAGCAGTCTACCAAGGTTGCTTTCCTTCTGGACCGATTTAGGCTGGCTGGAGTAAACGGGAATGTTTTTGAGACACGCACAATGGTCCAATAATTAGGACTAAGTGCGGAAACTGCCCTGAAGAACTAACTAACTAACTAACTACCATATTGTCTTTCCCACATATTATTTTTTATACGACACACTTGTTTTGCTGGCTCAGCTTTCCATTAGCTGTGGTTGAAATTTTTTTTTAAATTTTTGTCACGCAAAGTATTAATTATTAGAAACACGTATAGTCCAGTCAACAAGTTAAAAAACATGAAAAATAGGGATACAGCTCCTAAAAATATGAGCAATAGCTCATTGGATTCGGAATGACCTCTAGAAAAAGGAGTTTTGAGGATTTTACTGCACATAAAAAATTGCAATTGTTATTAACAAACTAAGATAAAAAAGAGGTATGTTTTTAGTTTTTTGTTAATAACTCATAAACTATTAATATTTACGATATTTGGAAAAAGCAAATGATATATTATTGCTGGTTTCGTATCCAATAATGGCATTAAGTAATATTGGAATTTTTTTTTTTACATCTTTTGTTAAGAAATTGCTTATAAACAAATAGACAAGTTTAATATTTAAACATTTTTTTTACCATTATGTTGTCTTGGCAAAATAAAGATATTTAAAAAAAATCTTATTTTTTTTTTACTGTTTATAATAGTTTTTTTTATATTTCCATTGTTAAAATAAGTAGTTCAGGAATGATTTTTTAACAATTTGTTATAAAGAAATTCTAACTACCATTATATTTTTTTTCTAGAGCTAAAAAAAATAACAAAACAGCAATATATATATCAAAATACTAAAAAAAATTTTATTAGTATTTTAAAAAAAAAATATTGTCCCCCCCTTTTATACATATAAAATATTAAATATTCCCTATTGAAGATAGCAGAATATGATATATATGAAAAAGTTCATGTGATCTAGTGCTCATTACTTCTGTAATATTTATATTTTATTAACATAGATACTAAGCAAGTATCAAATCAAACTATTATTTAAATCCTTACCTTTGTCACATAAGTGGCAGGGTATCTTAATACCCAAGTGTTTCACTTTGGTGTGCCTATATCTTGCACTGTGCGAGGCAAATGTTTTGTCGCACAATTTACAAGGCACCCTTGTCCTGGTATGGGCTGGCCGGTGTAACATGATATGTTCTTTTAAGTTGCGAACTGTTTTTCCACACTGTTCACAAACTTGATGTGTTGTCTGTTTTCCATAAGATAGTTTCTTTTCTTTCTTCTCATTTTTAATTGGTTCTAGAAAATTATGACAGTCAGCTTTAGCATAGAGTTTGTTGCATGAGTATAGCATTTTTACTAAAATATTTGCAGTTAAAAATGCAAAGTAATAAACAAAAAAGATGAAATCATATTAAATATTAATTTTAGTTAAGTTATAAAAAAATACAAGCTTTAATTATCATTCCATTAGTCATATACACACATATGTGAATTTTTTAACAATAACAATGTTAATTAATGAAAAATGCATTCATTGTTAAGGTTTATTGTATTACTAGCTACGCACCATTTTCTTTAGCCTCATCTAAATTTTCATCTGTAACAAATTCATACTTGATTTTTTGTATAACACTTAATAGTTCATCATCTGACTGGCAATCTACTAGGTTATTCTCTTTCAATTCCTGTTTTATTTCAGCACGGAAAGAAGTATCTTCTATCAAACTATCACAGTAATTAAAATCTGCATTTTCTACATCATCCTCCTCTTTGATAACATCTGACAGAAATATTTCATGTTTAACTTTTGATTCAGTTTTTTTATTCTTTAATAAAGAATCATTCTTTTGTACTTGTAACTTAAACTTGTAAAACAATATAATTTTCTTGTAACATTTCAGACATAACATTGTACTATATTCATCATTTTCTTCAACCTTAAAAACAAACATTAATTCATGAAATATATGAGATTAGATAACTAAATATTTTTATAGGCTCTCTTTACGCCTGTTACCTGTATATCTAGGCAGAATAATATTATTTCTGACCATGTGCTGTTGCATCCCTTCAATAAAAGATCCGTAATATTTTTTTCTGCTTTCTTAGCGAAACATGTTCTACAATATCTTGGTGTATTCATATTATTATGTTATAGCAAAATAAAGAAACTATTTCAACAACACAATTATTACAGTATTATTGAAAAAAACACTTATTATTAATTTGTGTTTTTAATCAGTTTATTATAAAATTGAGCGTAAAAAGTTGGAAAACACTGAAAGAATACCTATATACTAGGCTTCTTGAAAATATATCAATGTATCGATATATCGATATTTTTTGTTCGATATATCGATATTTTTTGTTCGATATATCGATATTTTTAGCCGATATATTTTTATTCGATATATCAATACAAAATAACCAATATCGAAATTCGTATCAAAATCGATATTTTTTTAAATATTAGCGGCATATCACGATTCAACTTAATTCGTATCTGGAAAAATCGTAACTAGATCTCAGATAGATAAAGATATTCAACTTATCTATGATCTGTGCTGTATTTAGTACGGTCTATGATTTGTAAATCTGTTTCGCTGGTGAATTGGTTGTACTGAATTCCATTATATTCTGTAGAAATGTGCGACTGTCTAGTCTTGTTTACGAAAGATGGCACCTGAGAGGTCCTGCAATCATTTTCATCATTCGAAAATAGGGTCTATTTTAGGTAGATAATTTTCGTTCCATTATTATTCCACGTGTCATCTTTCGTGAGATACTGTACTCTCATGTAGTGTAACGGCAATTTGGTACTTTGATAATTCTTTCTTTAATTATAATTTGTATTGTTATTATTACTGTGCTAGGCGGATCTAAATATATTTTTGGGAAAATTGGTCCGATATATCGATGTTTTTTTTGCGATATATCGAAGCCGATATTGATATTTTTTAAAATATCGATGTATCGATATATCGATATTTTTTTCTACTTTCGACATCCCTACTATATACGTAAAGTTGACGTAAAGTCGTAAACGTAAATCATTTTTTTAGCAGAATATTGCTGTCACTGTCATCATGACAACATTTTTTTTTAATTTTATGTCCTTAAAACAAAGACCTTTAGGTCAACATGACAACAAATGCACCACGACAAGCACAGATTACAAAGTAGATTTCATGGACGTATGAATGGAGTATGGACAAACCGGATTACAAACTTTTACTCATAAAACGGCCAGAGTGAGATATATACAATAATGGCCTTTTACTTCCCTGTAATACAATAACCGTTTTTTTTAATAGAAAAATTAATGAGAAAGTTTGTATGTTTGTTACTGAATCATACAAAAGTACTGAACTGACTTAGATGCAATTTGGTACGCACATAGTTCATGACAATAAGTTCCTGTGGAAATCTCAAAACTCAAGATAACGTGGACGAAGTTACGGACGATGATCGGTAGTAAAATCATAAATGCAAGTAAACCTATAATTTTGATGCCCTCATTATTGTTTTTTTAAGTTGTGACGTTGAAAGACTCGCTTGTTCCGTTCATCCTTAATCGAATGGCAAAAATGAATATTTCCTCACTAATTCATATGGTATGTTCAAAGTGATTCGCAATCCACACAAAAAATTCAACGGATTATTATTTTATTAACAGTTAATTTATTTTTGAATATCCTGGAATGGACACGCAAAGCTCAATGTACAAGGTATATAACTTCCTTGGGCACCGCGACAATAAAACAGCAGTCAAACCATTTAGCTTTATTTACAAAGGGTTTTTTTTTGTATTTTATTGTGATGAAAGCGTAACCTTATTAGAGCGTGTGAGCAATGGTTGTGTAATCAGGATAATAATTTTCGAAATGAGGACTACCGTTTTAAATCACATTTTAATAAAAAAGATCCGTTTCCTAAACATAATCGGCCATACCACAGTGTTGCACAGTTCCATTTATTCGAAAAAAAGGACAATATTTTTTCTTACCTCCGCTTTTAAATAACTGACATTCACTGCCACGTTACTCATGTTTGCCATAATGAAGCCGAGCTATTACCAAATATTCACATTATTTTAATTAGAAATAAACTCGCGTGGTCAACCCACAATCAATAACATTTGACGTTTCAGAGACCTGACGCTACTCTAGCGCCTCTAGCGACGGATTCATACGCGACAGCCCTCATTATTTATACCCTTTCACTTGAGCTTTTACAACCCATACTAATATTTTATATGCGCAAGTCCGCTTCACGCTTAAACCACTGAATTGATTTAGATGAAATTTGGTATAGAGATAGTTTGAGTCTCGGAAAAGGATATAATATGATTATTTATATCCCACAAATCATCCTTTAAATGTGTGTAAAAGGGGTGGAAGGTACCTTATTTGTTCTTTCATGTCTGTCTGTCTTTCATCAAAACCAGATTGCACACAAAACATTGAAATTGAAGACCAATTGCAAGGGATGGGGCAGCAGAGCTCCACTTTTGTATATATATTTATAAAATAATGAAACTACGGCATGATTTAATATTAGCTTTTATTTTGTGTAAGAATGTTGGACACAAATGTAGGTTTCGTATCAAATATTTAAAAATGCAATAATAGATAGAGAAAATTGTACAATAGTAAAAATCAAAGCGAGTGGACGTCACTCGAGTACCACCGCCTTCTACAGTATAACGTTACATGGTGACCAATACGCTGTTTCTAAAAGGAAATAGGCACATTTAACTTATAACTATAATAAAAATATAAAGCCTAATACAACTTCAATCCCATCTATCACACATTGTGATGTTATTGTAGGTACGCCGCGGGTTTTAAATCCTTAATAATATAGCTGCCTTCAAAATGCGTTTATCCACAGTATTAAGCATAAAAATATTTAAAAATTGATGTAGTCCGCAATGTTGGAGTAACAAAATGTTTTATATAATAAATCAATTCGTATAGGCTTTAAAATTAAATTAAAGTCACAAACAAAACAGCAAAATATAAAAACTAAAAATCTCAATTAAAAAGCTAAGAAAATATTGCATAAAACTTTCCATTCATTCCTCATCATAATTTATTTAAAATTAATATTGACTGAATATACATTCAATAGGAGGAATAGTGTGAACATAAACATTTCTCTTTCCATATATTATTATAAAAATTGGCTATATAAATGGTCATATAACTCGCCGCTCAGGACCTCACTCAACGCTCGCTATTTTAATAAAATATACTCTAGTCATAACTAATTGTCAAAAATGTTCTATTCCTATTCAATTATCTAAATACAAATTTTCTTCATCATAAAAAGAAATAAATAGGCACATCGCATTCACTCTGAATGTTCCAAAGAGTAACTTAACAGGCTAAAATGGTACATTAATTTCACAATGTTCTTATAAATACTTCACTTTTAAACAATCCACAATTATATTGCAGCATTGTAATACAACAAAAGTTGCTATGGCTTTCTGGTTTTGTACTCAAATTAACATCATCTGACATCAATATAATCAACACTAAAAAATTATAGATTTTGACATTTTAAGTACGCCCTCATCACCTGTGTAGAAATTCCTGTATATATTAGACTCGAATCCCGATTACATACACAACTTTAACGCAAAGAAAATTACATCCAAAAAGTTGATCGATATAACATGCACACTAATTGACAAAGGAATACACAACTAAGATTTTTTTAATTAGAAATGCAATAATTTTACTTACAAACAAAGAGCAATAATTACTGATAAAAATATACAATTAAAATAAGTTATCGATATAGAAAATATCCAAAATAATAAAAAGAACGGCGGAACGGTGATTATGATTATGTTGAGTGACAAAAATATTGATATACTCGAACAACAATAATTTAGCAAATTGATCTTTTCGTACTCTATTCGTATTGATGACTGTACATTTAGCTGTCAATACAATGTTACAGTAAAAAAACGATACATGCGTATTATTTAAACGATGTCTCAAGCTTTACAGCTCGGTGCAGAGTACTGTTTGTAAATGATATAGTATAAGAAGTTCGTGTTCAATCACATAAGGGCGATAAGAAGTTCCACGCGGTCGTGATGTTTCATAGGACTTCCTAATATTATCGAGATGGAGTTCAAGCGACTCTCGCCCGTAAGTGGCAAATGGCCAACTTCTCACGCTGTACGTCGGTGGTGTATTTGTAAGGGGGGAAATGTGTTGTTTGGGGGCTATTGTGTTTCGGTGGGAGGTGGCGGTACAGGCACGCTGAGTGGCGACCTCTGCCGGTCAAACATTTCCAGGATGAGCTTCGGGTCTGTCCCGGCCGGCACCGTCACTGTACCCGTCTGTGTAGACATCGCCTTATGAGTACCATCTTACGTTCTTCTCTGCAACAACGAGTGGCGGCCGCCTGTGTTTCAACTAGATCCAAAACTGAGATGTTCCCACGACGATGGATGAGACACAAGTACTGATTGATCGACTGACACGAGCGGACGCCACGACATTGCGCAGATGTTTCGTAATGTTAGTATTCAGCACAGTTTTAAAAAGTTACTGAGATAAAATTGAAAATTAATTGTAGAAGCTGAGAGATGGCTAAACTAAATATAAAGCTTCCGTTTTGATAGTTTTAGGGTCATGCAAATTTACGCTTTAAGATATTACATAAGGTAGATATTAAAGCAAAGTGTGGGGTACCTCGATGCGGGTGATGACTCCCTCCTCGCGACTGTGCTCTAGGACTACAAACAAAAACATAAGCGCCCGTCAAACATATAAACGAACAAACATTAACATAAACATAAATAATGGGACATTATGAATAGAAAGCGAACATTAAAACTCCATTCACTTCCATTTAATAAATAAAAATAGTAATATAAGTGACTAGAGTCTTTATATTAATAAATTCAATAAAATATATTTACTCTGTAAACTTATTAAGCCAATTCAAAGCAAATAATTGTTTTCATGCGAAGTTGGTACACAAGTTACTATTAGGTGAATTTGGCTTTTGTGATATAACAAAATATAAACTAAGGCTGGGATATCATTTAAACCAATACCGCCTTATTACAAAACTTTTACCAAAGGTTAACACAGTCTAAAAGTGATGCTGTCACTTTTGTTTACTAAAAAGAAGATGGAGACAGCGTTAGGTTTAAAAAACAGCGAGTACTGTTGCACTCGTAATACAAATATCTGATAAAGCAATTAAAAATAAGTTAAAACTTAGTATGTATGGATATTACCTGCGTAGGGTAAATTGGTTTTACAAATTTCCAGGTTATTTTCATTTTATTTTTTAATTGAATTCTAATTTGCATCTGATCTCAGTGATTAATTTGACTGTTTTAGATTTTTATAATGTGAGCTTTGTTTACTTAGTTGAAGGGTAATTTAATCTTGTTCTATGAAGATTTTAAAAACGACATATTAGAGATAATTATTTAGAAATATTATAAAATACCTATTTTTATTAAAAAGATGGTAAACAGCTCTTTAAACCACTTTAAAAATACTCGATTCCGGCTCGAAAGACCATTCGAGTGCTAGGCAAATAATCGGTGTGAGTGTAAGAGTTTATTACGATTGCAAAATGATAACTTTTGTGTGTGGTGTCAAGGGTAAGCGAGTGCGGTGTTAGGGGCCGTACAAGAATTACGTAAGCATTATAGGGGGGCAGGGGGGTCTTTGCTTTGCTTATTTTTGATGAGATAGGGGGGGGGGAGGGGGGTCGATATAGTGACTACGTCAGCATCATGGGATTCGGGTGTAATGGACTGAAGACTGTTAATTAGAATTTGTATGTATACCAAAACTTATAAAGTTTGTTTTGTTCGTAATAGTACTGAATAAGATTATAATATTTGTACCTTACTCTATGTTGAATACTGTGTTAATAAAGTTTGTAAATGAATATTGTTAAAGTCCTCTATCCTAAGCCTATCTAAGTACCGCTGCTCATGAAGCTCATGAATCAATAAAAAAAACAGAATACATTAAAGGAAAAATGCAAAAAGTACCATTGTTTACGTAAGCATGGGGGGGGGGGGGGGAAGGTGAGAGCTTTGCTTACTTTTGCTGACAAAGGGGAGGAAGGGGTAAATAATTATAATAAATCTGCTTACGTAATACTTGAACGGCCCCTTATGGCGTATCTACTCACTGTTCTCGGAGCTAATGGTGTTATTTGTAGTGGTGGAAGTGGTGGTGGTTGTGGCGGCGGTCGCGTCCACGTTGTTCTCGTTGATGGTCGTCCGTGTGGTGGTCTTCACCACCATCGAGCTGGTGTTCACTTGCGAGTTCTGATTTATGGGGTTTAGTTAATATTATACACTTTGAAACGTTCGCGTTGCGTAATAAATATAACATTAAATTGGTTAAAACGCGCACTTTATTTAAGATTTTTGTGCCTTCTTTATCCCGACGTTTTGATCGGGTTGCAACAGTCGCAGTAGTGATCACGGGGCGACTCTGAAACGTCGGGATAAAGAAGGTATTCGTCCTTTAATAAAGTACGCGTTAATTCTGTTAAATGTTATATTTATAGTCAATGTTATGTTGATTCGTGCATTATACTGCTAGGTTGGATTGTAGGGACTAGAGATATAATACAAATAGCGGGAGAGCATCCGGTCGGAAGAACAGTAAGTTACGGGTTCGAGTACCGGCTGATAACTGCATAATGTCGATTCTTTTATGTAAATTATTTATTGAAGTTTAAACGTGGAGTTACTTCCACAAGCTGGCGCTCCATTTCAAGCAGCAAATCTGCTATGGCTTACCTCTCTTAAAATGTATGTTGCTTTATAAAAAACCTTATCACGTTACCTGAAGGTTGATATTGAGCTCCGGCGGCTGTTCTTGAGCGTTGGTGTGATCGCGGACAGAATCCACGGTGATGTCGGCCGACGCGGCTGTCACGTCGTGCGCGGTCTCCGGAACTTCTTCCGGCTGATAGGTAATGTTAATAATAATAATATAATAATAATAATTTATTCCCAAATTTTTTATACAATATGGTTTTACAAATACATGCACAGGATATTTTAAAACTAAGGATCTGTGGGTACTTAAAATAGGAAAACCCTGTGACTTAAGTACCCACTCTCTTCCAGTGACACAATAAAGTAAATTTACAAGATACCACATTGATTAGAAAATATGATTTTAAATGAAAAACGAAAATTTAAGTTACATTAACAAACAAAAAAAAAACTTTTTTAACAAGAATTAGAACCAATTTAGTTTTATTTTGTAAATAATTTTCATGCAAGACGAGTAAGGAATCAAGTCATGTGTAGTAACATCTTCTCAGTTTCTTCATAAGTCAGTGCAAGAAGAAATTGAGTGAGTATGCGTTTTAGATTACAATAATTTAGTGAATATATATTCAACCTCCGGTTTACATTATTATAAATAAAAGGACCTAGAAAAAGTAGAAATCGTTTGCTAAAAGATTTATTAAATAGTTTACTCTTGAAAATCAATTTGTTGCGACGAACCTCTCCTTTATAAGGATCTAGAGGTAGTTTGGAATGTTGGTGTATTAATGTATATAAGATGAATAATTTACGTACTGATAAAACTTCGCAGAATGAGTATAAGGCATCGGTAGGAAACAGAAACGGCTTGAATGTAGCTACTTTTAGAACTGCGCGTTGGGCACGCTCCAGTGGGAGTATAGTTGTCTTAGGAACGCCACCCCAGGATGTAATGCAATACAGAATCAAGGATTGACAAAGAGAGAAGTAAATGGATTTGAGGAGTGATGAATCAGTTACTGTCCTAAGTGACTTGAAAATATAGATCAGTTTGCGAATTCTTGCAGCAAGGACATTGATATGGAGTTTAAAAGATAAATTGCTGTCCAGCAAAACTCCAAGATATTTAATTTCATTAACTCGCTCGATGGACGAACAACAGCAAGAGTTTGTACCCCAACAGGTATGTGCAGTAATTGATAGAGATTCCTCACTTGGCAGATCAACCGTTCTTATAGAGTGAATGATATATTTGGTCTTCTGAACATTAAGTGTGAGACGGTTATTGTTTAGCCATTCGCAAACCATATCAAATCCAGATTGTGCATTTAGAAAGACATCACGCCAAGAATCACTAGAAAAGAAGAGAACAGTGTCATCCGCAAAGGAAAGAAGAGAGCAATTTGGAATATTAAGGGTGCAAAGATCATTCGCATAAATTAAAAACAGTGTAGGACCAAGAATGCTTCCTTGCGGTACTCCGTATTCAATTTGGAACTCACAACTTTTCTGTCCTTCAATCACGACCGCCTGTTTACGATTTGATAAATAATCTTGAAAAAGGCTAAGTTGATTACCACGTATACCAAGTGTTTCCATTTTGCGCAATAATATAGATATTGGAACGGAATCAAACGCTTTAGCCACATCGAGGAATATTGTAAGACATTTCTTACCCCTATCCAGGTTTTCAATTATTTTGGAAGTTAGTTCAAGAACAGCTTGAGAAGTAGATCGCCCTGCTCGAAAACCATATTGGTTCTGACTAAGAAGATTTTTATTTTCCAGAAATTTGATAAGACGGTTATTTAAGATGCGCTCAAATATCTTAGACAAAGTCGGAAGAATAGATATAGGTCGGTAGTTCTCGACTCTTGTGCGGTCCCCGACTCCTTTAAATATTGGATGTACTAAAGCACTTAAATAATGGTGTCGATTTTGGCATTTTCACTAACCTTAAAATTAAATTTGACAACAGTCTATCCTTGCCATTCTCTTTACAGAATGAAAATGAGAGATTGATGTTAAACTTAGTTTTAAGTTTAGAGAATCATGCCAGAATCCACACCATTGACAAAAATCTCAGAACAAGAACTAAAGCATACAAGTAATACAATAACGTTTGAGCGCACACTTCGACATAGACTTATATGTCATACGACTATACGATCACCCAACCAAAAAGTATTATTGGCGCGTTGGTGGGTTGCATTTGACATTAGATCGCTTTTTGATTTGGTATTGTAAAGGTAACCAATTATCCACAAGGCATATAAAGACCAAAGATATCCAATTTGACGTTTGTATAGTGGTACGCACGCTGTTCATAGCAACATAATATTTGTCTCTTTTCTGGTCTATAAGGAAAAATAAGATAACTTTACGAGTCTTATGCAACCTTTACAATGATCCAAAAATTCTTATCTCGAGGTCCTTTGTGCCTCAGAAGGTACGGTAAGGCGTTGGTCCCCGCACCTTGGTGTAGACGTATACAGTAGTGTACCATGGGCCCGCGTGGTGGGCCACGGTTCTATCTTTAAATTCCATCCATAGGCACGGGCTGTGTCCAACGAATTAGAAATAATAACGAATACAAAATGCGTTTACTAAGTAGTGGTTCCACGAAAACTGCAATCGAGCGGGCAGGCCCAAAAAAATGCGATTTCCGATCATGGGATTGGTTGGGATTTCCGTTTAACATTATCTTACCCAATAAATGGATAGCCGAATTCAAATGCAGATAATTGCTTTTTTAAAGTATTCTGTTTTGTTTGTGTGCGTGCCGCGTTCGTATTGATGTTTAGCTGTATGAGTTTTTTTTTTACGACCTTTGTTAGAGAGTAATGCTTCTTTATCATTTCTAATTCGTTGCCTGTACCCAAGCATTGGGGATATTAATAGGCTGATTTTGTTTTTTTTTATTCTTTTTCTGCTGATGAATAGGCTGAGGATAAAAGATAATAGGTTAAGAACTACTCACCCTGTGGTCTCCGTTAGTCAGCGGCGGTTCTTCGGGCCCGCGCAGCGCTGCCGCCCACGGCGACAAGATCACGTGACACTGTGCCACTGTTACCTAACACGGGAAACATTAACATTTTGAAACACTGGTTCGACACCTCAATTCAATTAAACAAAAATTAAATTCGACAACAGTGTATTCTTGTCATTCTCTATACAAAATGGAAAGGAAAGACTGATGTAAAATTTAGCTTCATGATTAGAGAATCATGCCAGATTCATCACCATTGATATGATTAATTAAATGTTATTTTATTATGATTCTAGAAGTTGGGATAGGTAGTTTCTATCATAGAATAGATAAAAAATTGTTCAAAGGCCGTGACTTTTATAGTTGTGGCATGCGGGTCATACAATTATTACGACGAGTCTATGTAAAATGTCTTGAAATTTGAGTTAAATAAAGAGTTAATAAAGAGTAAGAGTTTGGTATGGTTACTGAGGGTTACGCAAGACAGGCGCTTAAAGGACAGCCGGACACCCGTTCGAACGGAAAAAGATTGCTGTAAATTATTTGTTCGGTGCGACAAGAATCTTTTTAAATGTGAATGACAGATCAGGGAGGGCACCGGTGTTTATGTAAATGACTGTAAATTAAAGTTTACAAAGACGGCGGTGTTAGTTCCAATTTTCGCCACATTCATATAGATCCCTGTCGCACTATAACTAACAATTTCTCACCTTCGTTGCAGAGAGCGTGATCCTCTGTAGCTCCGACGACGAGTGCAGGTAGAGAGCTTCACCGCGCTTCGAGAAGCATAGACTTGAAATGCCGCTGCAAACATATTATTAAATTAACACATTGATTAGCGGAAAAACACTAAGCTTTATTTGAGATCTAATGTAGATATTTTACAACTTATTTTTAAATACTTTGAGGGGGTGCTTGCAAATTTCTTGAGTAGATTAATAGCATTTCAATAAAAAATATCCATTTTACCTCATTCAAGTTTTTACGACATAAAGTATATTAACAGTATCTAGGGTCGTATAACTGAATCATATTATTTGATTCAGTGGTTAAGGATGAGTAAAATTCCCTCTCATAATGTAAAGTTACTATTACTCAGACGCAGCAAAATCGATGTTTGATATGATTTCGCCAGTAGGAATAGGTCGTCCTCTATAATTTAATTAAATTAATTTTAATTTTGTGAATTGTGGTTAGTTGGGATGATGACGATTGGCATGATCCATAAATCATCATCAGTCTATTATTGTCCCGGTTGCTGGGGCACAGGTCTTCCCTATGGATGGAATAGGGAGACTGGACCCACTACGCGAGTCCAGTGCGGGTTGGTGGGTGCTAACGACGCAGATGCAACTGGGACCAACGGCTTAACCTGCCTTTCGGAGCACGGAGGAGCTTGAGATAATAAGTTTTTTGGTCACCCATCCAATGACCGACCATTGCGAAGTTAAATTTCACGATCGCAGGCTGCTAACCACCTGCACCATTCAGATCCTCCATTAATAAAATCATTCTTAACCTTATGGCTCCTCTTAACAATGCCCATGATGGACGATTACAGACAAGCACGATTGTGTAGAGGGCATAATCGTCCATGAGCGGCCATCATCGCCTGTAATCGGTAAATTCAAAGAGATGCGTGTCGATGCTCATGCGCGCGTCAACACAATCGCCCATTACTCAGTCGCACGGAAGAAGTCAAGGCCTGAGGACGAGTGTGTAAATGAAATTAAAGGGTGCTAAAGTTCCCATGGGTAACAATAACATAGGGGAGAGCACCCAATCCGCAGCTGACCTAATCCGTACTGGGCCCATTCCGCATTGGGTCTAATGCGGATTGGTAGGTAGGATACTTTTTTTTATGGAGTAGGGAGATTGAGCTAGGACTCGCCATGCGGGCTTAGTGTGGATTAGTGGGTGGTATTAAAGTAGTAGTTTTAACTTCGTTCCAACCGAGTTCACAACGTGCACGCAATTTTTTTTTCAGAACTTGGATTAGGTTTAATTTCTGCGAACGGCACTCTTTCTTCGCGAGTTGAACTAGCCCTTGTTTGATACATATTCCGATACTGATTATATAATTATACTGACTAAATAGATAGCAGCAGCCGCTATCTATTCGACGTCCATCTTCAACAGACGACGGCGACATAAATAACAGTCACGATTGGTGTGGAGAGCAACCTATCATCGCGGCGATGATGGCTACATTTTTAATGGTTCATCATGTGCCATTGTGAAGAGGGGCCTTTATAGTGACGAGCGACCATTATTTTGTCAAAATTGCTGTCAAGTAATGGACCACCACTTACGATTTGCTAGGATTAACGAATCAATCAGCGTTCTCTTAGTTACGTAATATTTTTTCGAATGGCTTCTTGGACCATTTCGAGTGCTTCCAGGGGCCATCGCTTAAGAACCACTGATCCAAATGAATGAAATAACATTTAGGATATATAATTAAAGTGAGCTGGCGTCGTAACTTGGGGCTGAGCACGAGGGAGTCGCCCAGGTTGGTGAGGCACAGCAAGCACCATTCTGTCCATTGACGTGCTTTATGGATGACTGGTAAGATTGCAGAATACTGACTTAATGCCCTCCTTGCTTATGGCGGCGGCGTTGAGTTGGCGCCGCAGCTCGGGGCTGAGAACGAGACAGCGCCCAGGTTGGTGAGGCACAGCAAGTACCACACTGTCCATTGACGTGCTTTATGGATGACCGGTAAGGTTGCAGAATACTGACTTAATGCCCTCCTTGCTTATGGCGGCGGCGTTGAGTTGGCGCCGCAGCTCGGGGCTGAGCACGAGACAGCGCCCAGGTTGGTGAGGCACAGCAAGTACCACACTGTCCATTGACGTGCTTTATGGGTGACCGGTAAGGTTGCAGAATACTGACTTAATGTCCTCCTTGCTTATGGCGGCGGTGTTGAGTTGGCGCCGCAGCTCGGGGCTGAGCACGAGACAGCGCCCAGGTTGGTGAGGCACAGCAAGTACCACACTGTCCATTGACGTGCTTTATGGGTGACCGGTAAGGTTGCAGAATACTGACTTAATGTCCTCCTTGCTTATGGCGGCGGTGTTGAGTTGGCGCCGCAGCTCGGGGCTGAGCACGAGGCAGTCTCCTAGGTTGGTGAGGCACAGCAAGCTCCATACTGTTCATTGACGTGCTTTATGGGTGACCGGTAAGGTTGCAGAATACTGACTTAATGTCCTCCTTGCTTATGGCGGCGGTGTTGAGTTGGCGCCGCAGCTCGGGGCTGAGCACGAGACAGCGCCCAGGTTGGCGAGGCACAGCAAGCACCATACTGTTCATTGACGTGCTTTATGGATGACCGGTAAGGTTGCAGAATACTGACTTAATGGCCTTCTTGTGTACGGCGGCGGCGTTGAGCCGGCACCGCAGCTCGGGGCTGAGGACAAGGCAGTCACCCAGGTTGGTGAGGCACAGCTAGCTCCATTCTGGCCATTGACGTGCTTTATGGATGACCGGTAATGTTGCATAATACTGACTTAATGTCCTCCTTGCATACGGCGGCGGCGTTGAGCTGGCACCGCAGCTCGGGGCTGAGCACGAGGCAGTCTCCTAGGTTGGTGAGGCACAGCAAGCTCCATTCTGTCTATTGACGTGCTTTATGGATGATCGGTAATGTTGCACAATACTGACTTGATGTCCTCCTTGCGTACGGCGGCGGCGTTGAGCTGGCGCCGCAGCTCGGGGCTGAGCACGAGGCAGTCGCCCAGGTTGGTGAGGCACAGCAAGCACCATTCGCGATGCAGAGCGTTCTCCGGACCGCATTCGAAGTAAGCGAACGCCGTGCGCCGAACCTGAGTATATAATATTATTTTCATCCCACCACCTCGGAAAGTGTAATTTTGCGCTTCGAAATCTGGCTGGAAAATTCTATTTTATTCGCTTGAGCGGCAAAGTAGATTTGAATTTAGAACATCACATATAATGAGTACTCAATATAATTGTAAATTCAAAACGTCATTAAACCTATTTAATGTAACCTCTATGGTGCCAAATTTATGATTAGAACTTTTTAAATTGTGAAAAAATTTAAATTTGGAACCTTCTTGGTTTCTTTGTTTTATTTGCGTGCTTCGCGCCATTCTAGTTTTTCACGTTTTATTGCTTAAATATTTTGTCATTATAAATTGTTTTCTTTTTCATTTTGTCATTTCCTCGCTGAGGTGGGATGAAAAGTTACGTATTGCACTCGAGTGGAAAGATTTTTCACCTTGTGCTCGTTTGTTTCCCTCGCTGACGCTCAGGATTCTAATTTAGAATCACTCGCTGCGCTCGTGATTCAACTTTAGAATCCTTCGCTTGCTCGGTCATCCAAATCGAGCACGCGGTTAAAAAGGAACTTTCCACTCTTGTATAATAAATAACTATTATTTGTTTATTAGTGAACAGTAATGGGATATGGCATCATGCTTTAAACCAAAAATTAAATTTTACAGCTGTAAATCTTTTTCATGCTCATATCATATTACACAACGTAATCTTGGAATATTTACATCCATAGGCATGGCGCTTTTCTTAATTAACGGGGGACAAATGTTTGGACATCCCGTGCCTAAGTCCCTGGTGGACATTTTCTTCACGATTCAGAAACTTTTGTCCTCTGCGGACAAAACTCCCTTGTCTGTGCAGACAAATTAGTTTGACACAACATTGATGCGTTCATAATACTGCCCGTACTGTCTTAACAATAGAGTATTTGACAAGTTTTTAAGAAAACGATCTCACGTTATTTACTAATGTTTATAGTCAATAAAAAGTGGATATTCATCATTATGTTCTGTATTTCGGTAAAAAAACTAAATCAAAAACTTTATTTTGAAGTTGCCGCGAAAAACGTATCTCTGGACAATATGGCGTCTCACTGGTGTGTGACGTCACACGATCTAATATCACTTTAACTTTATTTGTTTTGGAAGTTTACTTGTATGTGACGTAATTTTAGGCTCCACCAATCCCAAGCGTTTTGGGTCACGTGACAAAAGACAAGAAAAATATTATCTTTATCGTGAGTTTTTAGTTTTTTCTGTAAAAATAGTAAAAACTCCTGCCAATGTGCATTCTAAATACAGATGCTAACAATTGGCACTTTATTTTTAATATTGTCAAATACCACAGAACACAGAAAGAGGTTAGAAGGGTGATAAGCGATCGCCAGTGTGAGAACCGATGTCGCCGGCTCGTCCCCACTACACTTCCACCTAATAGATAATAAGCCAATCAAACGACGCGACATCAAGCAACCGAACGAATCAGCGCTCATCGAATCGCACAGTCGTGACTGTGAGCGTTCATTCGTTCACACCGATTTTAGCTCTAGTGGTTGTCACTGAGTCGATGAAATATTATCGATATTAAATATGCCAAGTGCGACATGGACTTGACTTGATTGTATGGAATTTTTTGTATCCTGTCAAAGTCAGTAAAGATAAAGAAAATGATTTAATGTAAAACGCATTACTACAGATAGTTATTTATTGACCTTTAAACAATATATATTTATGAGAAAGGTGACGCTGTGTTTCTTTTTTAAAGTTATTTTTCAAAAGAAATATATCTATATATTTTTCAATTACCACTTTAATTGAATCTGTTACGTGGTTAGATAATGGGAATTCACCGACTTGATAAAATGATATTTCATCAAATAATGAAGTGCCAATAATTTTTTTTATATTTTTTGGACTAAAATTTCTCTTTTGACAAATTTCAAATTATCTGCATGTTGTCGTATTACAGTTTCTGCACTTTTGCATTATTTTATAACATCACCACGGCCGGATATATCAGGCCACCTTTATCTTTTAACGAAATAAATTTATGTTATTTATTTAATCTGATATTAGGGCTCCAAGGCAAATATCGCATTAGTTTTTTTTTTATAAGGACATGAACCACATTGCCTGCTATGTAGGCAATGACTTGTGTACTGAAATCAGTAAAATCTACATCTTCATCCTCTTCGTTTTCAGATGGCTCTTTATAATCTCTTTCTACTGACTGTGTGGACAAGTTAATTCTCTCTATAGTCCAGTCAAAATAGACAAAAATAAGTCATAACATAGGGATAATTTGCATAGAGCTGAAAATTGGCGGAGAAATTAAATACATCATTATAAATAACATGTCTAAAATCTCCTTCGATCCTACTTCTGCAAAAAAATATTCAAGGTCAAACTTACAAAATTATGGTTCTTTCCATTTTTCTCGAAGACGGTAAGTTTTATCGTGAAAATAGCTCTGACTAAAGTTGAAGATCATACAATTCTCTACAAAACTGGTCCACTCACTTTTTCTCTCACGACACACCATTCGTGAGATATCGCTGTTTTAATAATTAGAAAATTCATATTTTACATATTGAGTATAACTTAGTTGCTGCTAAAGCTAAGTACCACAATAACTATTATAGTATCTTTCTGAGGCCTACTATGGGATATAAATCTGCATGGAACAGTAAAACAGTACAGTGGTATTGTCTGCCTCCAACATCTGCTTCTGCCTTTCAACACTTGTATCGTGTGTATTATCAAGTTCAAGTGTGGCTAGGCAATGATCTGGATATTTTCCCGCAGTTCAACGTAGCGCATGTATTAATCCAGGGTGTCAGCTAACTCCATACCAAATTTTATTAAAAACGCTCCAGCCGTTTAGACGTGAAGAAGTAACAAACATACACACTCACAAACTTTAGTCTTTATAATATTAAGTATGATAAACATTCACAATTAGCTTTTATTTATTTTTAAAAGTAACTTTAATTCCATTATTAGGTGCTAAAATTCAGTCGATAAAATCTATCGAAAATGTAAAATGTACGACGCAAGACACCACTAAAGTAGATGCAATGACCTTGTGCTGCGTGCGGCCACGTGCAGCGCTCTGTGATCCACGCGTCATTCTTGCTCGATCGTACTACGTTACGTGTTTTGAATGTCGTAGAAAGAATAGCGAGCGTACTTTGTCAGCAATGTATATTTTTGTGGAAATATATATGTGATTTATCGTTTTATTAAAATTTCTCGAATTTTTGCTAAAATATCAGTCTGAAGTTTTATATTTACCGATGAAAAGAAATTCCTGCTTTACGTAGATTTGATGATTGACTCCTTACTTTGCAAGTAATTACGGCACACGAAGGCATATTTTAAGCGGTAATCACAATACTCTCGTACTGAGCGGTCGCGGGCAACTAAACGACGCGATCGGACGTTACGGTCAAGTTACGAGCATTTGCTCATAACTGGGACGCGCCTGCACCGCCCACAAGGCCATTCTAACCTCTTTCTGTGTTCTGTGTCAAATACCCTATTATTGTTAGACAGTACGGGCAGTGTGGACACGGACACATACCCTGGCGCCCTCGTGCGCGGTAAGCTTGTACTTATGGTGCGGCTTGAGCGCGGGCAGAGTGAACACCTTGAACTGTTCCTCGGACGTGATCACAACGCGTTGAGGACCCGCCTCGGGCAATGGGGATACTCCGCGTTCCACCTGAAAATAACAAACATCGTTATCATCTATATAGCAAACATTTCCAGCCCCCCTAGCACGAGCACCGCGATATTATCTATGACGCGTAATTATCACGCTAAGTGTCAAATTACTATGGAGTTTGACAGTTAGAGGCGATAAAAACGTGATACAATATAAGTTGCGGTACTCATACTACGGGGACAGAAATCTACGTTAATGAGTTTTGTCAATCTAAAAAGCTGTGGTCAAAGGACCACGTCCCCACAACACTGAGCAGGTTTTCTCTTTATATTAAAAATCTCTATTAGTATAGCCGTGTTGTATTACCTTTTCTTCCACTCCACAGTGTTAGCATAAAATAAATTTACCTCCAATGGGTCAGGCAGTGGTACCGACGCTCCGTCTAACACCGTGATGCCTATCACAGGCGCTCTGTGTTTCAATTGGATTTCTTTCGCTAATTGACAGGTAAGCTGAAAATTAAACGACGTGTCAATAAATAATAATTATCCGACAATTTGACAAGTTTTAGAAAACGATCTCACGTTATTGACTAATGTTTATGGAGTCCGTAAAAAGTGAATAAAAATCATTCTGTTGTGTATTTCAGTAAAAGTAACCAAATCAAACACACGACTGTTATTAAAACCTCAAACGATACAATGTAATGTCACTTTAACCGGAAGTTTACTTGCGTGTGACGTCATTTTAGGCTCCGCCAATCCCAAGCGTTTTGGGTCACGTGACAATAGGTAAGAAAACTATTATCTTTTTCGGGGGTTTTTATGTAAAATTATGAATATTTTTTTGTAAAAATAGTTAAAACCCCTGCCAACATTCATTCAGATGCTAACAATTGGCACTTTATTTTCAATACTGTCAAATACCCTATTGGAAACAGCATTTGTACTAATAATACGATGAAGTTTTACACTAGCGACTAACGAAACCTCTTTCTAATAAGATAAGCAAAATGCGATATTACCTGCTCCTCTTTCCTTTTGTTAGCATTTGGCACGTGTATCGTGAAGGCGAAAACTGTGCCGTTATTGGTACCCGCCCATAACGTCGGTGTCGAACTTTGTGCTGAAAAACATACGATGTAAAGTCTACAGTTCTTTGACAATTGTCCAAGTTTTACAGATAGAAATTTCGAAATCAAAGCAGTTGAATTGACTTTTAAATGTTTATTTGTTAGATTCAATGATTGGTTGCTTCATATCTCGAATGTAATCTTGTTTTATTTGCAACTTATGCCTTTATTTCGGTACCAATACTTGGCTTTACATTAATTAAGAACTGGAGTCTTCTTTGAAGCTCCAGGCCTTTGCCCTTCCATAACATGGATATTTAAATGCTCGTGTGGGTCTTTGCTATGATATTAATAAAATAAATACAATTAAATTTGAACCTAAACTCACTGTTAATAAGGAAGGTTCTCGCGAAGTATAAACAGCGGACCATAGAACCGAAAGCATCGTCCGTCGACCTCGCTTCCACTGCTCGCTCAATGGGTTTCACTTCCACGTCGGCTTCTGATGGTGTCTTGTCGGGTTTCTTTGCGGCGGGCTACGTAAAGGAAAGGCAAAATGTCAAAACATTTTTACTCAATTTAGATGCATGGTACAACTCTTTAATCGTCCGATATTTTTTTCCCCATAGGGCCTGCGCTGCATTACGCGAGAGCACGGACGTCCGCTCCGCGTGCAGTTTTTATGTTATTTTATAGAATAGCTCTGTGTGGGAGACCTGCTTCACGCAGTGCAACTCACACTGTTTAATTTAACATAAATATTTGCAATAAGTGACTAGGGAAGCAATAAGAGAGCAATAAGCTAATAAAATATTCACGTAATTTGAGTAAATATATGCAGTAAAGGTGTTCCTACTTGTGGTGATGTGGGGCTGGATGTGGTTGTCTGTCGCCGTTGCGATCTGCCTTTTCGTAGTCTTCTGAATGATTCTCGTAGAGATTTCTTGAAGGATTTCCTCCTTGATATGGGAGTGTCACCAGCACCGGAATGATCTGAACAAAATATAAAGAATATATAAGATTTATGTGTAATTGACTCATATAAATGAATAGTGGAAAGAAAAATACACATCTGTCTCTCTTTTTCATTCTGTGTAGATGATTAATTGTCCAATTTGAATTTAGGTTTAGCGAATCATGTCAGCATCGATCATAATAAATTTCAGGCACTTGCGTCTTGTACGCCGAAACAACTTTATGTAATACCGGCCATACACACTACGAGAAATCGTTACGATTAGACTGTACAGTCCGAACGGTACCGATAAATCGTAGCGTGTATGTTATACCCGCCATACACACTACGAGAAGTCTGATCGTAACGATTTCTCGTAGTGTTTATGGCGGGTATTATAAAACTGCACAGTTTCCTATACTAAACGAAATCGTTTAAACTGTTCCGTTCGAACTGTACAGTCTGATCGTAACGATTTCTCGTAGTGTGTATGGCCGGTATAACAAATCTTCTGTAAGGACCTATTAGTCCAGTCATTTCGTTCGAAAAAAAGGCAAATAAAAGAAAATGAATTTGCGCTTCTAATTTTTTAATATGTTGTAGGGGATACCTAGAAAAGCTTAACTTGAGATTGTCGACCAAGCTTTCCTAGGAGCTTTCGCCGCCATCTTGGAAAACGCTTAAAATTTGTTTTTCGGCAATAACTCGGCTATCCGATGAGATTCGAAAATTTTTGTAGGACACTTTTTGTAGCTTTCTTTGTGCTCTACAATAACGCCCGAACCATTTTTAGCGTATCATGCATCGTTATCGAGATATCGTTCGATAAAGTCAAAAATTTAGGACACAATTTTTGTTTTTTGCTTTTTTTTCTTTGGGTCTTAATAAATATGAAAAATTGTGGAATTCAAACTTGTAGAGCATATTCCTATTAAAGCTCATTTCCTGTAAGTGTAAAGGAAATTGTTAGGCCGCCTGTGGGTGCAGAAAAGCGGGAATCAGTTGCTCCGTTATTTGCATGCACTGCAGTGGGCAAACATGCAGTAACGTCGCCAGAGTCGACATTTTGCTTGACGACGACGACGATGTCTGTAACGATGATGATGACGATGCTCTCATCGAATCAGCATCATTTCCAACGGTTCAACAGACACAACAACTCGAAGAGTTTACGGAGGACGAAGATCTTCAGCCTGGACCATCCAAGCGAAAAAAGACATAAAAAAAGTCCATCGTTCGTCTCTCGAGTGCAGAAAAAAATATTTTTCTTTCCGTTTATTTTGTTTTGTTTATTTTGTATTGTAAAAAAATATTTTTTTTTACTGCACAAACAAATTATTTGTTTAATAAATTACTATTGTGTGATCCTTAATTTGTTGCTCTATGTACTTATTTTTTATCCCATCAATTTCCTGAACAATTTCCCATTCGATTCGACATCCAGACACAACCGAGCGAGCAGTTCGCTCGACGCTGAGTGTGGATTCACCGACTTTGCGGCGCGCTGGAGATCGTAATTTTTGTCCAACATAAAAAAATCCAAGAAGGAAATTGTAGGTCTGAATATGCTCTACAAGTTTGAATTCCACAATTTTTCATATTTATTAAGACCCAAAGAAAAAAAAGCAAAAAACAAAAATTGTGTCCTAAATATTTGACTTTGTCGATCGATATCTCGATAACGATGCATGATACGCTAAAAATGATTCAGGCGTTATTGTAGAGCACAAAGAAAGCTACAAAAAGTGTCCTACAAAAATTTTCGAAATCTCATCGGATAGCCGAGTTATTGCCGAGAAACAAATTTTACTCCTTTTTTCAACATGGCGGCGAAAGCTCCTAGGAAAGCTTGGTCGACAATCTCAAGTTAAGCTTTTCTAGGTATCCCCTACAACATATTAAAAAATTAGAAGCGCAAATTCATTTTCTTTTTTGAATGTACGTAATGACTGGACTATATTTCGCATGAGTACATCAAGTGTGTATTATTCAAGCCAGTAGAAGTGGCTAAGTCGACCTTTAAAATTTCCCCTTCCTCTCATGTATGTATTACTGACCATGCGGGTTGAGCGTACACTTGTGCAGCAGCGGGGCGGCATGCAGCGCGTCCAGAAGGGCGAGCCCGTGGGCGGTGCCGGCGCAGACCACGCCCCATTCCCATTGTGCCGCCAGTGACGTCACCGCTGCCGGCGGCGACAGCTGCACTACCGACGTGGCCTGCACAACGACACCGTAAACTCATATATACCCTATTAAATCACTTCACTCAAGATTACACAAAATAATGTTGATTTGATCTCCATAACTGAAGGCAAAACCGACAGGCACGCATGTAGGGTTACGACTGATTGATGCGGCTACGGTACAATTACTTACAGTATTCGAGTACGATGTTACGGCTACGAATATTTTTGCTAATACAACAAACTGTGTCGCTACATACTCTATTCAACTTCCATTGTGACAAATAAAGCAATGTTTCAAAAACATTTTTATCGGGAATAAAGATGGCCGATGTAACCAGACCGATTATAAAGTTTAACATTTCAAAGGAAATTATCTACTTTATCACTACTGTTTAATTTAGTAGCTAAAACTATAAGATATTTTTTATGTCACGTTTTATAAATATGATTTTGCTTTTTGGCAATATTAATAGTTTGAGGTATTTTTTGTGTTACTTTTTATAATTATGATTTTGTTTGCTTATAAAATCTGACCTATTAAGAAACCTTTAATAGTTTATTTATCTTTTTGTTATATCATCCTTAAAGTATTTAAAGCCAATCTGGCAAAAACAAGAAAATAACAAATAATCCTTCAAATCGAAAAGCCGTGCAGTGTGGTTTGAAAAGACGACACGAACGATCAATGGTTTCGAGTTTTCTATGTGGATCAAAACGACTGGATAATTTGTGGAATCTTTAAAATAAACATTCAGGAGAAAACACAGCAGACTTTAACTGTAAAAAATAAAATTGACTATTTATTAAATATGTGCCATAGAAATATATAATAACCTTGTTTATTATTGTAAATAAAATAGCGTTACCTGATAACCTTGAGGGAATGTGAGTGCGCCAGATCGGAGGGTTAGCTGGTCGTGACCCTTCCACACGAAACCATCTCGGTCTGACACGATGTTCACAGACACTGACTGGGACAAACAAAAACCGTAATTATTTTTTACAGAAAGGTAAAACCTAAATAATCATAGGGAATATGCATGTTATTTAAATAAGGCTCAATATTTATTTATATGAACTCTATTACTTTTTAATTGTACATCTATTAATATATAATAAATAAAATTTTCTTTAGGGGAAAAAATAATATTTAAAAGCGAAGAAGTTGTGTGCCATTCAAATACGGTTGTGACGTAGAAATACACAACAACAAATCAAAAGACAGGCGCCATGTTCACAGGATATGTCAAAGTCAACGAGACATAGTGCGAGTGCGCACGCACCTAACCTAATCTAACTGTGAACTTGCTTATTTTGTTGCTAGGTTGATAAGCACTGTGACTTCACACACAGTTCCAACGTAAGCGTTTAAAATGCCTGTGCAATGGCTTTTTTCAACATTATTTTATGCCGGCACTTCGCTTGGCTATTCGTATTTGCTATGAAAACTTGACAACAGTTTGTCTTTATCACGAATGAAAATGACAGACTGATGTCAAGTTTACAAATACCATACACGAATATCCAATCAAAGTGCCGGCATTAGACAAATTACACTATTTTTCCGACGTAAGATGTTTTTATACTATATTCAGAGAATGTAAAGTATAAAATAAAAATATAAAAAATAATCATGCATTACTTGTAATTCGTATAAACCCCATTCCAGTTACCTGTCTATTTATGGAAAGGAGATAGTGAAGCGTTTACTTTATCATTAAATCGCTTTCAAAAACAAAGCTGAAACAATGTATCACAAAAGAAAGAGGGTTGCGATTGGCCAAAGTTAAAGCTAGGCTCAGCTTTCGTCGGTTCTAACTGGTTTTCGTGAATAGAAGAAACTGTGTATTTTTTTAATTGAGATAATCTTATATATTGTTTAACTAATATGGTTTATTCAATTTAAACTTACTTTGACTTCGCTCGTGTTGGGTGTGTTCTTTAAACTGGCAATGACGATGTGACCAGCTGCACCTCCGACTGTTAGCATGCCCGATAAGGGACACAAGACCACCTACAAAGATATTTCAGAAATATAAAATAACGATAAACACATAGGCCTTCTTTACTGAAGGGTACACATATTTAATTGGTGTTCATGTGCTCTGATCTAGACACATTTTTTTTATTAATTTAACATTAGGTAACTTGATTTTTTCACAGAATGTGTATTTTAGATAACATTTATAATCTCGGACACATGTATTGCCCCACTTACTTCTTCAAAGGTCTGTAGCAAAAATATGTTTAGGGTTGAGCAATAATTTCAAAAACATACGAATAGATGGTTAATAAATCAGCTTCAAAACTGCGTAGGTTATAATTTTTTAATGATAGTAACATTTACTTTAAAACTTAAAATGTTAGGTGGCAGACAGTTGTGTCCGTAAGTGGATTATGTCAAGTAAAATATTAATAAAAACATAAATTATGAAGACACAATTTTGACTGTGGCGAAATGAAGATAAAGAGCACATTGAGCCACTAAACGCGATCACTAGTGGCTAAGTCAAGCGACTAGACACACGCAGTTACTGATTGCCGCCACTAGTACCACCACCATTTAGAGGCGGCCACTCGAACGCTTAGTTTGCGCCGATACTATAAAAATATTATGAAAAATATCGCCTGCAGCTTATGGACGCGGTTAATGGCGGTCACGAGCGGCTCAATGTGCGCTTCCTCAAAGGGTGTTATGCTTCGCAGTTTTATAACTTACTCTTTTGACGGCCAGTCGCGGATCGTCGCTGTAGGGATCGAAAGAGCCGACCCGTCTGAATGGGGGCCATTCCTCCTCTTCGTTTTGACTGTCGTTATTCTCGCATATCTCTTCACCACTGTTAGGAGAAATAAGGTTTAGTTTATTTATCAAGTTCATTCAACTTATGGCCAGTTTCAATAATCAAACTCCAGTAAAAGGTAGGCCTACTCGAGCTTTGTTGCTAATGCATTTTTATTATTAAAACTATATTATCTGTTGCTAAGACACGGAACCAGATTATCCTTACCTCTTACTGGGATTGATTATTGAAACTGGTCCTTAGTCATATGACTCGAAAACTATATGTTTCAAATTATTTTGTACTTTATAGCAAACAATTTAAATTAAATTTGGATATTAGATACTTTTAGATTTTTTGAACTGATGAGCTTTTTTGGATATAGCCATTTATATTTTGTTATTAGCTAACTTCACTGCTGTTAAATTCACGAATAGCAAATACGAACGGAAATTAAAGTGCTAACATAACATAGTTAGTAGTCAAATTTTAAGATTACTGTCCATTTGTTATGGATGATTAACTTATTGTTAGATATGAAGGGCACGAAGAAAACATATCATGCTTAGTTAATTATTGTAAAGATATAAAAAGAACACATTGCAACACATGCCAAAATTAAAATATGCATAGTTAATATAATTTAAAATTGTGAGGAATTTTCACCTGCTTCAATGAATAATATTAAGTTTTTACATTCGTGCTGCTAGTGTGTATAACTCAATATCACTGATTTTTAAATAAAATAAATTATTATATAAGGTTTTGTAAGAATTTAAATAGGATATACATGATATGTGAACTCAAAAATAAACTAAAGTTTTATTGCGTAAAATAAAAATAATAATAGCACAGATACACAGCAAAATATGAAAATTTACCTGGTGGTAGATCTTTTCAGCCCACTTCATATGTAGCAAGCGATTAGCAAAAGATCAGATATTAGCAAATGTTAGGAGCAAGCTTACGACATCGTTGTTATGGTAGCGCGTTATCGTATAAGTAGCATAATAATTTATGATAGGTAAAAGATACAGCAAATATTTTAATTTAAGGGCACTTTGGATTTTACAAATACTTGTAACTACCTATGCTGAAATAGTTATATATTGATAGTTTAAATGCTATATTAAATCAAAATGTATGTTTATACAAAGCAAATTTGTCAGGGGTATAGGAAGAATAAGACTAGTTATGCCATGTATTGTAAATATTACTCATATGACTTTGAGAGAGACAAAACTCTCCATTACTATACTGTTAACACAGGACCGTGTTAGTAGAACTCTTTCTTTATCTCACACACAATAGTATACAAATACGAGGACGTAAAACAGTGTCACATAGGGGATAGTGTTTCTTTAGAACAGCAGGAGGCACAAACTGTTGTTGTTGCATGATAAATTTTCACACTGTAAAACATTCAACCTACAAAAACTTTAAGAAGTACTGGTCCATAAGTTATGGCAGCCACTTAACACCAGGCGGGCCATGTGCTTGCTTGCCGCCCGTTTCATGGGCGACAATTAGAGCGAAAATTCAGAATCTAACGGAGCCGTCCTCGTGTAAGTACTGGACTTGGCGTGCGGTCACGTCGCTGGACTGCCCTTGTGTTAGCTTACAGTTTTTTTTTTGGACCTCCACAAATATTTTCTACCGTGGCCAGACCAAATTAAAACTACTTCCCGATGATTGGTCTTGGTAGACTATGATGGCAGCTTATCTTCAAGCGATCCATGAGCTACTTTGGCGTCATTTTCACATTAAATTAAGAATTTTTGTTCGGTCTGACTGACTGACCTGAATAAAGGCGCGGTGGTGTACTTGTAGAGCGCAGTCATAGTAACTCCGGAAACATCCCAGAATCTAACGGAGCCGTCCTCGTGACCCGTGAGTAGTACTTGACGTGCGGTCACGTCGCTAGACTCCACTTGACCCCCGGATATGGGCCACGGGCATTCTGAGTACACGTTCTCAGTCTGCTTTTGGCCTGTGGAAGAGTAGTAGAGTTATCCAAAACAGTCTTATTACTCCAACTAACTTTGGTTATGTTGCTTGATATAACATTTAAAATATATTGAGAAAAAACTTTTTTTAGATCGCGGTTATTAGGATTATTTAGGATGTTTTAGCGAAGGCACATTGACCAGAAATCGTTCTGTGGCAACTTTGAAGTTGCCGTAAAAAAAAGAATTGTGTTCTAAAAAGTAACATTACAGTTTTGATTCGAATGAGATTTTACCTATATTGTTCTATGTTATGTGTAGAGTGTATGTCTAACTCTTTATTGCATATGTCGTTTTACCCATCTATGATCTACCTCATAACATTTTAAGGCTATTACTATTTTACGATAAGTATACAAAATTTACATCATGGTTGAAAAAGAAAGGTTGTATTTTATCGCGTTAAGATGAATTTCGGTTGTGTAATGCCGGGGCGGATCGCAAGTTTGTTATAAATAAGCAACTAGCATATTTTTTATTGCCTTTGAAGACAGACGAGCGGACGTGCCACCTGATGTTAAATGGTCACCGTTGCCAATGGACATCAGCTATGTCAGTGACAGTCACGCCGCAGACATTCGTAGAAAACTCTATATATGTCTTTCAGTAATAAATAAAAGTGAAGTATCATCTGCAAACAATAATACTATTATGTGATTATCCCTTACAAAGTAAGGAAAGCCATTCATATAAATTAAAAACAAGAATGGACCAAGAATTGAGGCCTGAGGAACACCCATCTTTACTAATGACCCGGAAGATCTTTTGCCATTGATGTCAACTCTCTGGATCCTATCGCTCAAATATGACACAATGAGATCCAGAGCTACATCTAAATCCATAGTTTTTTTTTTTTTTTTTTTTTTTTATATTACTAGGTAGGCAAATGACTCTACCCCACCTGATGTTAAGTGGTGATAAAGTCCAAACGCGAAGATAGCTGGTACAGCAGTTATTAACTGCTACACCAACCATCCTCACCTTGCCGGCCCGCAAAAATGCTTCTTCACGCCTCTCTTAAAGGACCCCAGATTATAGGAAGGAGGGAACACGTGCGCGGGTAAAGAATTCCACTTACGAATAGTACGACAAAGAAATGAGTCGCCAAATTTCTTTGTTCGTGTAGGAATAGTGGCCACAGTAAGTCGATGGCAACGTAGGCCAGCGCGCGTGGTCCTCTGAAGAAAAGGTGATGGAGGGATAAGCAAGAATAGCTCCTCAGAACACTCGCCGTGGTATATTCGGTAGAATGCGCTTAATGATGCCACATCACGGCGTAATTGTAGAGACTCGAGTTTCTTAGTTGCCTCTTCATCGCCAATGATGCGGGCAGCGCGCCGCTGCAACCTATCCAAGGCATCGAGTAAGTACTTTGCGGAGCCATCCCAGAGGTGCGAGCAATATTCCACGCAGGACCGCACTTGTGTTTTGTACAACAAGCACAGTTGATCGGGCGTGAAAAAACGCCGCACCTTGTTCAGGACTCCGAGTTTGCGTGAAGCTGTTTTGATCAACGTTTCGATGTAGTCCTTTGGATTCAGGTCTGAGCGAACTTCCATACCGAGCATGGTAATATTGCTCTGTAGCGCCAGTGTTGTGCCCTGAAGAGAGGGAAGGGGAAGGAATGGCGATGTTTTTGCCGTGAAAGCGCAAGCCTGAGTTTTCTTGGCATTGAACTCAACCAAGTTCCTAGTACCCCATTCGGAAATGTGGTCTAAAGCCCGATTGAGCTCAACGACAAGATTCTCCCGTTTCTCCATGGTTTCTACCTGTCCAGCCGCCGCGTGTCCAAAGTATCTCGCATGCACTGTGCTATCGTCTGCATAGCAATGAATATTCGCAAGTGGAATCAAATCATTGATATGCAGCAGAAAGAGTGTGGGGGATAGAACGGAACCCTGAGGAACACCGGCATTCACTGACATGAACTGCGAACTACATCCGTCCGTAAGGACGCGAATTCTACGCTCATGCAGGAAGTCAGCTACCCAGGCGCAGAGCTGAGCAGGCAGACCGTATGCAGGAAGCTTGGAGAGAAGGCTCTTGTGCCAGACCCTGTCAAAAGCCTTGGCGATGTCAAGGCTAATAGCCAGAGACTCTCCCCGCTTGTCTATAGCTTCACCCCAGATATGTGTCACGTACGCAAGAAGGTCACCCGTCGATCGATTCGGCCTAAATCCGTATTGACGATCGTGAATTAGAGAGTAATCTTCTAGGTAGCGGGTCAGATGGTTGTTAAGGACCCTTTCTAAGACTTTACACAACACTGAGGTGACAGCTATCGGCCGATAGTTGGCCGGGTCTGAGCGGTCCCCTTTTATGGGCACCGGTTGCACATTGGCGTCTCTCCAAGCTTCCGGCACACGCCCCAAAGAGTAAGAGAGTTGGTACAGTCGCGTAAGCACGGGAGACAACTCCGCTGCACAATGTTTTAGAACAACTGCTGGGATGCCATCGGGTCCACTAGCTTTCCGGACGTCGAGTGATTGCAATTCCGCACGAACATCACGCTGCCTGATTTTAATGTCAGGCATCGTAGTGCCACAATGAGGTAGTGTAGGTGGCAGTGCATTGCAATCACTGATTCGGGAGTTAGCCGCAAAGAGCTTTGCCAACAAATCGGCTTTCTCTTGCGGCTCATGAGCTAGTGACCCATCTGGACATCGCAGAGGTGGCAGCGAGGGCTGGCAAAAGTTGTGTTGCACGGCCTTAGCCAAACGCCAAAAACTACGGGAGCCCGTAGGGTGCGTTAACAATTCGTGGCCAGTACGTGCTACACGTTGGGCATCCGCTCTGATGTAAGCCTTCTTACAAGACTTGGAAGCACTATTATAGGCAGCTTTCAATGAGTTAACCCCGGGATCCTTAAGAGCGCGGCCTCTGATCCAAGCGCGATATGCCGCCTGCTTACGAGAAACAGCATCGGCACAATCGCGATTGAACCAGCGGTTACGTGTGCCCTTACTGATGAGATCAGAATGTGGAATGTAATACTCCATTCCCATTACGATCTCCTCAGTAATGGCAACGGCACTGGATGATAGGTCCTTTTCATTGAAGCAGCGCTGCTTCCAAGGGACAGACGCAAAGTAATCGCGCATACCATCCCAATCTGCCGACCCATAGTGCCAGACCCTGCGTTTGACCACCAATGGTCGAGGGGTTTTGGCCTGTGGCACCTTGACAGATATCAGGCAATGGTCTGATGAACCCAGTGGGGCTCGAACCACAATCTGATACTCCTGCGGATGGGTCGTAAGCAGAAGGTCTAGTAAAGAAGGCGCTTGACTTGCTATATCTGGGATCCTGGTGGGCTGATCAACCAGTTGTGTCAGGTCGTGCGTGAGAGCGAATGCATGGGCAGAGATCCCTGCATGGTCAGTTTTGGAAGAGCCAAGCCACAAACCGTGGTGGGCGTTAAAGTCTCCCAAAAACACCAGTTCTGCGTTGGGAAATTGCGCCTGGGCATCATCTGCTACCCTACTGAGGTGGTCAAACAGTCGAGTTGTCTCAGCGTCGCCGGTGTGAGATCTGTAGAGGCACACGTAGACTCTGGCCAAAGGACCAGAGTCTACATGTACCGCCATCATGGAAAAGGAGGGGTCTTCCAGGCAGCTCAAACGGCGACAACAAACATCCGCCCGAACATACAGGCATACGCCGGCTTTTGCTTTGAAGGATTCTTCAAGCGCGTAGCCGGGATATTTAAGGTAGCCTGTGTCAGCGGGCGGAAGTATTTGTGTCTCCGTGAGAAACAATAGTGCTGGCCGTGCTGTCTCAAGATGGTGGTGGACAGCATTGAGGTTAGAGTGGAGTCCGCGTATATTACAGAACTCAACCTCAAACAGCGCGGAAGGCGTGGGGGTGTGCACCGCTGTACAACCAAACTTTATTTTACGGGCTGCCATCATGAGAAAAAAGTTGAGAGACGTGAATCGAGTGGAGTTAGTCGCGACAAAGACAGGCAAATATATGGAGGCACGTTTTCCCGAGTAACTGCCTGCGAAAGAGATACGCCGACCCAACGGACGGAAGGGCCCCCGCACCCTCCCGGGAGTGGCCGCCGGGACCCCACGCCCCGGTCACCAACCGGCACGACGGTCCACCCCGAGATTATGCGTGACATGATAGGGCAGCCTCACGAACTGGTTAGGAACGCTCGGGCCCCTGTACTGTGCCACGGGCGGCCAGCGGGACAGCCGTTTCTACGGGTCTCCCTGGCCGGTGGGTCGATGCAGTCCTCCCGGCATCGGTTCGACGGATGCCTCCACTGGACCGAATCTGTCGCGGCAATCTCCACTCGAGCTCTGGTTGTACGCTGGCTGATCCCGAAACGCGCGTGAAGCACTTCACGGGTTTTTCACCATGCGTACGGTGGTAACAAACCAGGCGGGTGTTAGGCACCCTACCACCAGGAGAGCAGATGGAAGCTCTGATATCCCTCAGTCGCTTCTTACGACACCCGCGGGAAGTGAAGGGGCGGTGAGTGGTATTCTTTCTCCGTCACCGCACGGAAAAAATAGTGGCGCAGTTTCCTGAAAATCGCAATAAAAACCTTTTTCATGAAACATTAATCAGGTAACACAGATACCTGATTATTGGTGCGCTACCAATTCGACGGCGCAACCAACTCGGACGCGTGCACAGAATGTTATTGGTCGCGCCCCCACTAATTACTATAGCGCTGTTAGTGTCTCACTCACTCGGTCGCCAGTCCGACCGCTAGTGACGCCTACGTACATACAGCAGTATCCTTAGCACGAACCAATATCGAATTCATAACGTTTGCGAGCCCGAAATGTCATTGTCTCTCTGTCACTGAAGATTAACCACCAATTCGCGCTGGGTCCGTTATCATCCACCAATCCGCACTGGGTAATCGTCACACAAAATCCCCCCAAGCCAAGCCTAAGAAGTTTCACTTCAAAAAGTACTACCAATTCTTCGACGGTTAAAACTACCTGCGAAATAATTACACGTACCGGCGGCCAGTATCGCGTCGTACACGGTGGCGGCCACGTTGTCGACGAGCTGCGCGGTGGTGACGGCGGACGCGTGCACCGACACCAAGTACGGGAGACGCACCGGACGCCATTTAGCATCGCATAGGTCTAGCACCACCAATTCTTCCTCGGCTAACACTACCTGCGAGAGATTTACACGCGTGTATCACATCACATTAATAAATAAATTAAAAAAAAATAAGTCAATATGAAGTTTATTGTTCCTGTGGTCGCGGTGACCACAGGAATAATAAACTTCATATTTTGTAAATATTATTTTACTAGAAATAATTCCACGCGGACCAGAATCAGACGGGACTCTCGAAGCCATACCCTCCACTAGCATAATGGTCATTCGGCCGGATAGCGGAGGGTGCGTGTTCGAGTCCCGTCTGCTGCCTGGTCCGCGTAGTTTTCATTTCTAGTATTTTTTTTTTACATTTAAACATCTAGCAGTTAAATGCTTAAAAAATAAAAAAATAACTACATCTTTTAACTGTGAACATCGTAGTATCACAATGACTTCTTGACAGATCTCGACATACGCCATAAATAAAAAAAATTACTGAATTATCAAATGTTATTTATGTGAAAATGATACCTAATTATTTGAGAAAAACCGTTAAGTTTAATATTTTCATAATGTGTAAAAGGTCTCAATGACAGAGGCGGCCTGCGGCAGCGGTCAACCCTTATTGGTCGATCGTTTTTGAACACTTTGCTTACATTGCAAACGAATACAACTGCCCGCCACCCTGGCCAAGTCTGTCTGTGAAACACTTTAAAAATAATGGCATTTTCTCCATATAAAAGAAACGTCTCGGTTTACTAAATCTTCACTATCTCCAGCATCTCTGTAGTATCCAAGGCATGTAAAACAGTTAGTCGTTAGCTTACACGAATTCGCAATAAGCCATGTTCCATTCTCCCTTTTCCACTTCTAAAGAAGACTATGCCCCAGCAGTGGGGAAATTACTCGTTAATGATGATTATATAAAAATAACTTACCAGCGCAGCGGCAACTTGGTTGACTGTTTGCAACACTATCTGCGCAGGAGTGTTCGGCCTCTCCTCTTGTAGGGGCACGCCGTCCGGTGGCACCGGTGTCGTTGTGAAGAAATCTATTACCTGAAAGCAATTTATGACTTGGAGGCTCAAGGCGATTGTCAGGAACAATTAAAACGACCTCGAATTGGAACGTCCGCCTGGGAATGGAACCTCATAGAAGACCACAGCAAAATAATATAAACTTTTATTTTAGTGTGTTATTTTGTTTCTGTCGGTGAGTAAGATTCATGGGGTCAGGTTAGGCAACGGCGCGAATGATAGTGATATTTTTTGTATCGCAAGAGTTTATAGGCTATAGTGGCCGCTTATCATCAGGCGGGCCATAATGGTTGTTTGCCACCCTTGTTAGATAAAAAAAATGTAAATTGAAGAACAAACGGTCACAAAAAACAAGGATGTCAAAGAGCTTCATATGAGAAAACCGATTTAATTATAATAATAGCCAAGAGCCTCGATTGTCATCTGCGGGAGACTCGAGTTGGGTAACTGGGTCAAGGGCCTGATGCAGAAGGCAGTGCGGCTCGCATAGTGAGGACGTTCCTTTCTCTGGGGCTCTAAACACCGGTAACTAGGACCCTGTTTCTGATGCCGGTTGGATTCTATTTTTTATATTTTTAAATGTTTTAATTTTTTTATTAATATTTAAAAATGTAATTTATATAAAGAGAATAATAATAAAATATTTCTTACACTCGCATCAATTAACCTAGACACAAAGTAAGCACCGTATTATGGGTACTAGGGTAAAGGGTAACATGATTTTTGGCAATCGAACCCGGCATCCCAAAAAAGGCGATACGTTGAAACCCGGTGTACTATCAGCTCATTTGTTTCCTGACCCACCGGATTATTTTCCTACAACCATTGCAAAACAATAAGATAGACTTTCGCATAAATGTAATAATAAAATTGTTATTTTTAGGACATTCACGGACATTTCAGATTTTGCCGCCTACCTGTGACTTAATATTGACGTAACATTCATAACATATGGAGTTTTGCCCACAGACTTAGGATTTCCCTTAGTTTACCAAAGTTTTTCCAGAAATCAAGAGTTTGTGATTTATTTATAGTTTCAAATTCCAAGTACAATTTGAATTTTATCTAATAGATGATCTACTGCTACTACTGTTATGTACTGAAAACATTTCAAAGATCTTTAATCCACATTAATACAGTTCTCTTTTTATTAAAAAGTCTTAAGTACAATTAAGCATTCTCTATAGAAGAAAACTTGACTTGTGTTGATATTTTTAAGCGAAATCGGGCAAGTGGGTCGAGATCAATTTTTTTGGTAGCACATACCATTCTAGTACTGAGGTTGTCTATTCCGTGGAGCAACGGCAAAACTGCCTGCTTGTGCATATTACTGCAGTGTTTTTACACAAAACCAACATGTTAGAAATGACATGGAAGCATTACTCTTCAACAAAGGTCGCTAAAAGGTGGTTCCAAACTCGCACAACTAAACTTCATTACCAACGCGACAAGCACACAGACAACACAAAATACTTTGACAAATCAAATAGATATTAAATTAATTCGGCTATTCATGCATTGGGTAATCAACTCTCAACCAATCCCATGATCGGCGTGTTAATCGCATTTATTTTTCACCCCGCCCACTTGATCTTAGTTTGCGTGGAACCACTTTTTAGCGTAGTTCGTATTCCACATTATTTCTCATTCGTTGCATAAAACTTATGTAACATTGACGCTGATTGTGTACCTATTTACTTACTCGACTGGTGAAATCGAAAGCAACGTGCTTCTCGCCCTGCTGCACTGTGACCGTGTATTTGTCCGCATATGACGCTCTCGGCATACCACCTGAAATATAGGGATTGTTATAATAGCGAACCATTCTTGTTAAACGTTGTGTAAAGCAGAGTCCCCAGCGCGTGATTGGCCCTACACAATCAACATTCAACTAAATCGTCTACACAAAACTTTGTTTTACTACACATATTTGTTTGCATCAACAATGTTTTTGCTTTCCGAGCTCGATGGAAAACACGTACACAAATCCCCCCCGCGCGGTTCGAGGGCAGGGTATTGTTTTATCTGCCAATTTTTTTGACAACTTGCTAGGCTCCTTTCCAAACTGACGCTCCGAGTACAACTTTTCACTCCCACGTTTCAATTTTGACATAAAATGTACGTTTAAACCTTCCCTGAACTAGGACAAACATTTCAACACCATAATCAGCTAAATCGGCCCAGCCGTTCTCGAGTTTTAGCGAGACAAACGAACAGCAATTGATTTTTATATATATAGATTATAGATAGGGCAGCGGTAATTACAGGTAGGGCATAAGCAGGGGTGTGCCGCCCTTCGCAGCCTGCCCCTCCCCCTGAGCCCCCGTATCTGCTCTTCCCCCTCGAAGAGTATCTCACCCCCGCGGAGCCTGACTCGGACCCTAATAGAGCTTCTAAGCCGTGTTTGGGCTCAAACGAACCAGAACAAAAAGCCACAACTGCCCTGAGGAAAACCGCGAACAATACGTTATCACGTAAAACGACTTTACAGACAACAATTTTTCTCTCTTTAAGTATTAATATAATGGTGATACTCACCGGCGTATATAATAATCTCCTCGCCGTCAACACTAGTGCGATTCAGGATCTTGGAAATGGCTTTACACGGGTACGGGCCGTACGGTGTGACCGGTTCCTTTAGAGGCCGTTCGCTGGCCGCAGCTGCTACCTCCCATGTCACGTATGAGCCATCGTTGTGGGAAGATGTGAAGTGTTCGCCTGCGATTGAGTAGGAAAATTATGCTTTACTCATATTGCGAGAGTTAATGGAGTATATAAACTAGTGGAATTACCACAGCGCCCGATGTGAGATTAGGAGAAATAACACAAAGCAGTTAAGATTGTAAACAATTAGTAACAGCTTTCTTAAACAGCAACTTAAAAAAGTGTCTTTAAATATAACCAAAACACCTTTGAGCTTCCTTTCCAGCTTAGGCTTTTAGCGGTATAATATTTAACAATTGATGAGCGCTGTTTGTTTACAAAGTATGAAAGTATAAAATAGTGATCACATAGACAGATCCATACTATTTATAATTGGTCAAAAACGATAAATTTATTTGTTTTATACGACATTACATACATTGTTCTGATACCAACTACTCTAGCAGAGAAATATACTTCTTTATTCGTCACTACACTCTATTCATGGAAACGAGTTAGTGGAGCGATTTCTTTATCACACAATCGCTTACAAAATTAAAGTTAGGAAAACTGAGTCACACTAGCGTGCGGTACTCGCTCGTATCCGTGAAAACAGTACAGTACCTATAGAAAAAAATACCTACACTCTATTGATTTTCCTCTGACACTAAAGGTAAACAATTTAACCAATGTTTCTTAGTCTTTATTATCGAGATTAAAGATGGCTGGTGTAACCAAAGTGTTAACAATATTTCACATTTCAATGTGAATTATTTTACTTTATCATATATAGCAAGCTGAATAGGGTAAAGCGTTTACAATTTTCAAATCCTCCCAAAATAAATAATATAATTTTTCTTTGTAATACCACAAATAGTCCGTAGAGAGCTTACCGTCGTCGTTCCAACATAAGCTTTCTAACTGCTGGTTTGAGACAAAAGTGTGTGTGGGTGATGAAGTACCGCGGTCCCATAGCACCACAAGCCCGCGGTTGTAGCCTATCAGAAGCTTCGACGGCACTTTGGGGTGTTCGCACACTGCTTCCACAGCGCCAGGGTTCACTTTAAAGTCTTCTGGACAACTGAAAGTGGATAAGAGTTGATAACATTAAATGTGTCCATGACCTGGTAAATTGTAGAATAGGGAATATGCATGTTATTCAAATAAAACTAAATCTTTTTTTTATAAAATTGCTTTTTGAGCATGAAATTAAATATTGTACATGGGTGCACTGACCATTATGCTAATGCGGTCCTAAGCCCCTATTTTTTTTTCTTTTTTTTGTCTGGGAAATGCCTTACGCATCTTTCAACCACCAACGAGAAGAAGGTATATGGGACTCCTCCCTGCTCATTTCAGCCAGCCCTTAGGCCGGGTGAAATGAGCAGTGCCCTACCTAACGCCCTGAACAGGGCCACTATGATAGCGGCAACCGTTGCCGACTGTCCGCGCACCGGCAAGGTGATTGTCCGCGTACGGACCCACCCTGATGAAGAAGCCCCGGAGTATTAGGGGCATCAACATCAAGAGAGCTTGTGCAATGCGGGCCAGTCCCCACCCAGGGCAGACCCGCGGCTCTCACAAGAGTGGGAGGGAGAGCGTAGTTCTCTCCGGTCCTAATGACCCTGTCGAATTTATTCTAGTATGTATTAGACTGCAAGGCAGCGCCATCTCTTCACATTGTAGGCGATCCACAATGTCAAACGAATACCTTTACAAGTATTAAACATTTGAAAGAAGAAATACAATACGAAGAGATGGCGCTGAATTGCAGCTTAGAAATACTAGAAAAAGTCGACGGTAGCATAATCAGTCAGTGCACCCACCCAGATAGTGAAGGATGCGGGTTCGAGTCCCGTCTGCTGCCTGGTCCGCGTGGATTTTTTCTAGTAAAATTTTCTTTACATTTAAAACATCTAGCAGTTAAATAATTATAAAAATTAAAAAATATAACTCCATTTACTTTTGCATGACAATATCTTGATATATGGCGTCCTCATTAACTGTGAATGTGTTTAAATCGAGGGAGTACAGGTTGCCGCCTTCTGTGCCTAGTAGGAGGTTCTTTCCAGACGCCTCCACACATAGAGAGGAAACCTTCTTGTTCTTGCCTTCGAACGCGTGTGTTTTCAGCTCTACCAGAGATTTTTCGTTGATTTCCCATAAGTGTAGGCTGTTGTCGTCGCATAGTGATATTAAACGGCCAGTGCCTACCAAACAAAAATAGTACATATTTTAATATAGAAAGACATAATATTAATATTACAAAGCCGTTAGATAAGAAGGTTTTTAATCAAACAAGACTCGAAAACGTAGGCTCTTGCAGGTTTGATATTATTAGTATTTTTATTCGCTAGCAATAAGAGCCATATTCGTAGTGCATTTTGTGGTTTTAACATCATGGCCCTGATTGTACCATTTATGTACCTGTAGTTCTAAAAACGGCTAGCTCACGAAGTACTGTTTAAATTACATTATTTGTATGTACTTCCTATACCAAAACAATATAAGGCAACTTGATACTTTTTAGACCATTAGAGTTGTTTAAGCATTAAATTTGAATAAAAATATTTTGATTTAGAGATAGTAAAAGAGAATTAACAGACGGGGCAAATTATAACTATTGTTTATGGTACCTGCAAGAGATATACATTTCAAGTAATGTATGTATTTTTGGCAGTCATTGCATATGACTACTTCTCATGGCTATTTCTAAAAAAATATTTGCCGCCCTAGACGTTCGGCCCTACATAGTGGCTTCAGGTATGGTGGGAATACTTCACCAGGTGCAAGGTTGCCTCCCTCATGTTGATTTGACGCGCTCGCGTAAATCAAAAAATCCCCGCCTCGGCTCCGCTACCATTACGCAAGTTCTCTCACCTGGTATGAAATGAATCTGTGTGACCGCAGTATCCGGGTTGGTGTGCTGCCCGTACAGCTCGACGCCGGGCCGACCGTACACCTTGAGGGCGCCGGTGGCGGTGCCGATGGCTGCGAGACGCAGCAGGGGGTCCCATGCCAGCGCCGATGATCTGTGTGGAAACCCGTGTTGGACGGTCTGGGGACAAAGGATATATTTTTAAATACGTGGTTCATCATCACCAGCCTATTAATGTCCCCACTGCTGGGGAACAGTCCTTTCCTATAGATGGAATATGGAGATGGGGCTATGACCCAACACGCGGGCCCAGTGCGGATTGGTGGATGCTAACGACTGCAGATGCAGCCGGGACCAACGGCTTATATAATAAGTTTTTGGTCACAATACAGAGTTATAAGAACAAAACAAGTTCAGGAAAACGACATTTGTTTACTCTAGAGGAAGAACTTTCTTCTTTAATATCACCAGCATTAACATTATTCGAAAGCGGTAACAATTTTATCTTGTGCGTTTTTTGGGATATTTATGTTTTTCTTACACTTACATCTGTGTGGGACACAAAATGGTGGTAAATTTCCAAAGAGCCACGTATTGTTTTTTTATTCGAAAGAAGCTCAAATGTGAGAAAGCCGAGAGACGTAGAATAATGGAACAGATATATAATTGAGGATAAGAAGTGGTAATACAGTCGTTAATAAAATGCAAATTGGCTAGCAATTATCGTTGTGTTAATAAGGTTTTTTTGTGATAGACTTGACACCTTCTATCCCACAATAGAATCGTAGGCACAAAGTACTTACAAGTACATACAGGGAAGGAAGAACATGTACCTGATAGGCTTGTATTATTGTGCTTATAGAAACCATTAGCGTAAGAAACGTGTCGATCTATGAGTCATCCTATTACATAGCCCACGTTGTCATTCATTGGCAACTTGTAGCAATGGACCATATTTCTAGAAATTCTTTATCCGTTTTAGCATAGATCTTCCACGCCGAACGGTAGTGGCAATTTTCATAATGGTATTTATTATAATGGCACTTCCCTTGACTATTCGTGGTTACTTTTTTATAAACTTGACATTAGTCTGTCCTTTTCATTCCTTATAAAGCATGATAAGGAGAGAATGTTGTCAGTTCACAAATAGCAAATACCAATAGCTAAGTGAAGTACCGAAATAATGAGAATTTAAGAGGTCTCTATGCAACAGTTGTGATTTTCGTTAGACTTAACGATCATTGCATTACAAAATTAAATGTTATAGTTAACCTCTGTGTGCAAGTCTGACTCGCGCTTTAAATAATCCGTTTCAGCTATCATTAGTTAACCTTTACATTCAAACGTGTATCTGTAACAAGACGTGATGTTTTGTTTGAAATATTGTCTAAATATTTAGTCTGGTGTAAACTTCTCAATGGCGTGTTGATGTACCTAGTAACTGCTCAACTGCTTTTGTAACGTAAATCAATTTAAATGAACTACCATAAGAAATTATAATCAGCATATTAAAAACAAACTAATAGGTAGGTGGACCTTGTCAAATGGAGATCAATTACCTCCGTCTACTTACTGGAAATTATGCATGACAATTATGTAAGTAAAATTCAACGATGGGCAAAGTTTGAGCATTACAAAAGCTGCTTTTGGATAAAGCTGCGTGTTGGGAAAGCGATAAGCTCCCACGCGAGTTATTAGCTCTAGTCATTCAAATACGAGAAAGGTACCGTACTATTTGAAACATTGAGGTCAGTTTGAAAGCTGCTGATTGCATACAATAGAATTCGAAAGAAGTATCAGCTGTTTAAGCATTCGGTCGTGTCGACAACGAAATCTTGTTGCATTTCATTCTGAGAATATTCAAATAACATCTCATCATCATCTTTGAAAACCCAACTCTTATAGGTAGAAAAGTGTGTGAAGACGGTATCCATTATCTCTACATGAATATAAACCAATTTGGTAAAGCGGAAAACGCTATATGTCTGTTCCTACATTATTAAATGAATAATAGCATATCTAGTCATTATTCTTAGTGAATAATAGTAATATAGCGGCGCATTCTTGATTTATTCATTTCATGCCAAATATTCATACATACAGTCTAGCTGACTTTAAAGGGTTTGGTAATAAATCAATATAAATTCCTCTAGTAAATATTACTTAGTACATACTTATTACGGCATGCAAAGGTTACTGGTGGTAACGTGATCAATCTAAAATTCTACGGAGATCTACATACGTTCACGGTCTGATGGCGAGCGGCGATTACTAAGAACTGACCTATATTGCATAGGAAGTTATTTTATATGTGAAATCACATGTTTGATTGGGTCTTGCTAAAAATAACAATGTCAATGTGTAAGTTTCGCGTTTTCCCGAAATAAAGTGTCGTGAGCTAGGAATTTTACGCGATTTTTACGGTTCGTATCAAAAACCCCGTAAACCATTGATGAAAAATCTTGACTAATTGGCGATGGTTCTGTTTATTATGTTATATGAAAAAGAAAGGTCATAGCATTGGAATTCTGTCAGATAACATTTCCGAATGGAGGAACATATACAACTTTTATTTTGGAGCAAACCAAAATAAACTAATATTATAAATGCGAAAGTGTGCGGTCTGTGTGTATTTTCTATCACTAAAAAAATATAAATTATAACAATTTAAGACTTATTGTTTCAAACTTTCATGGTCACAATAAAGTTATTATCGGGATTGTTACCAACCTTGTTTTTTGTGCTGCATGCATGCGTGCATGGCGCTTGCAACAGTGCCGAAATATCGGAGACTCACAAAAAAATGGTAACAATCTTGTAAATAACTATACAATTCACTTATAATGAAACGCTTAAAAACGTTATTTTAATATGAGTTTATTATTATAATTTGTCATAGTATTACGTTATTCACCCCAACACGCCCATTTCCGAATCGCGTGGCATGTCTACTTATTATTATATGCGAACTCAAGTAATTAGTCAGGTGTTAATGAAATGCAAATAACATTGTTCGTTCATTCATATTCAAGGCATGGGGTTACGAATTAAATCAACGTATCTGTGTTACTGCCAATTAGCGATAGTCGATTTTTTGGTTAAATATGATTGTTCTTAAATAATTACCTTACAGAAACCCACAATAAAATAAAACTACCTTTTGGTGGTGTTGATTTCTGTCGGTGAGTTAGGTTTCAGGGCTCCACGGGGCAGGGTAGTTGCCTACCCTACCCGTTCCGCAACGGCGCGAGTAATATTTTTTGTATAGCAAGCGTCTATAAGCTGTGGTGGCACCATACCATCAGGCAGCCCATCTGCTTGTTTTCCACACTTTTAACATAAATAAAAACACTTTTGCTAGTGGAATTTAAATTCAACGACTCTCAGTTACAAGTAGATTTGATTGAAAAGTAGGAAGTGATTTCATATCCAAATGTGGAACAGCCAGTTCGTGGTCTGCCATTATCCGCCTCCGTAAAGCGGAGCATCTATGATGTCACCTCGTTCACTTTCGATGCCAAGTGACGTCATTTTATGAGGACAATCTGCCGCATGCAATTGGCAACAAAGTCGACGACTTTTCATCGCCTTCCTTTATTTGTTATTTTGAAATTTGAATCTAATATATACATTCACTTTTCTCGTTTCTGCTGCCTCGTGACTCCACTTAATTACGCAAAATATCATTATTCTTAGGAGGATCATTAATCGACATATACATAGAATATATCTATTGAATATTCGTTCCTAAAATATCGTACTCTAGAAAGCAGAGTACCAGAACGTCAGATATATGTTTTCATTTATTTATAAAAAAACACTTATATGAAGACCACAAAAACGTAAGCAATACAAATAAACATTCTGTTTTTTATTTTTATTTATATAATTCTCTATGACAAATACTTAAATGTAAAATTTATTAGAGGTATCTTAAGTGTATGGATAATTGTATTAAAGGTTGTAAAACGAAAAAAATGTCATGCTATACTGATGCAAAAGTTAGCGGTTTAGGTGTCTCGTTTCTTGTAGGGATGCCTTGATGTGTTTGCACAAGACGATGCCGATGTGACAGCGAACTAAACAAAGTCGAACAGGGAGACAAAGTCACCAACAGCAAACTTAGTTACAAAGTAAGGGGTCTGTTTAATTCGAGCAAGACGTTGCAGGCATGTTAACATAATCATATTTGTGTTTGATTACGCTGTACTGTAGGATTCAATTACTACTGGGAAAGTGAAAAAGACGTTTGTTTTCGTACAATAATTGGAACACCATTTACAGGCGTCAATTAACTAAGTCGATGTTGGCACTTTTATTACGATATCAATAGAAGACAACAGGGGAATTAATCATTTATTCAATTAATTATATGTAACTGCGTGCGGTCTTTAATACTGCAACATATTTTGAGGTTTCGTTATATTTTACAGTTGGTAAGCAACAGGGTTTCTTCGGCATTCCTATTCGAATTGAAGTAGTCTCCATTTTTACAGAATACCTCAGAGGAATCGCAAGCTGCTATAGGCTATGGCGGCCGCTTAACTCATTAAATTATTTATTATAATTAAAGTATATATATATATATATATATATATATATATATATATATATATATATAGAAACAAGATCAAAGATAAAAATATATACTACATAAAATATATATCTTTATAAACACATAAAAAACAATATTAACATATATAGGTAAATATCCTTATCCTATATATATATAGATCCTTGGGGCAGGCCTATGCTCAGCAGTGGGCGTCGTTCGGCTGACATGATGATGATGATATAGGTATATACATACAAATCTATATCATATTAGGTGGATGCAGAGAAGGAATCTAATAAATGATGACGTACGGAGCGTTTAAAAGCTGGTTTGTTCGGAGCATCTTGAATATTAGGAGTCAGTGCGTTCCAGAGTCGTATTGCTTGAAGAGAAAATTAGTTGGGAATAGAACCAGTACGGTGAGCGGGAATAGCTAGTTTTTTTGCTGCTAGACCGAAGATTGGGTTATGGATACTACCATATACCATACCATATCTAAATATCGCTTATCATTAGGCGGCTTATATGCACGTTTCCACTCTTTGACAAACAACTTTTTCTCATGTAGTAAATGATTAAAATCTCGAACAGAACGAAACAAAAGTTTTCTTTTTGAGTTTGAAAA